AAGAAAAAAGAAGAAAAGAAAAAGAGAGAAAAAAAAAGAAGAAAAAAAAAAGATATAATAAAAGGGAAAGGAGACGAATAAGGTAGTACTAACCCTTCCTTGGCAACGCCCTTGAAGTCCAAGCCCTGGTTGCCGTATTCGGCGTCGACGCGGTGCGGATCGACCGGGCGCGTCACGTCGTACTTCTCCACCACCACGCCGTTGAAGTCACTAAAAGCCTTGGTGATCATGAAGAGCCACTTGTAGGCAAGGCGCTCGGCCTCCTCAGTGAAGCTGTAGCGGTACAGTCCGGTCCACGCGAGCATTTGCTGCGGAGCCCAACCGTAGGGGTAGTCCCACTGCCGGTTGGGCCGCTCCAGTCCTATCTGGCCGCGAGACTCCTCCGTGCCAGACAGCAGGCCACCGTAGGCCTCAAACTTGGGCAGTGCCTTAGTCACCATGAGCGCCGCCTGCTTCGGGCTGGCCACGCCTGCCCACAGGGCCCAGAAGGTCGTGCAACTCTCGTACGTGCACTGTTGGCGCGCAACCGTATCGTAGTCAAAGTACATGCCCTCCTTCTCGTTCCAGAGGTACTTGTCGATGGCGAGCTTGCGCCTCTTCGACCGCCGGTCCCAGATGGCCGACGACTCCACCTGGCCCGGTTGGAGGTTTCCGACGCAGTACTCGGCGGGAATCACGAGCTTGTCCCCGAAGACGGTGCGGATTGTGCGAGCAATATCCGTCTCGTACTTGAAAAGCAGCGTGTTCAGGTCGACCGTGGCCAGGTTGGCACACACGCGCTCGAAGCGGTATGTGGTATCGTGGCCCGACTCGCGCACAGCACGATCGTGCATGAAGTACTCGTCAAGCTCGGGCTCCTTGATGCTGCCTTTGTTGTAGGCTTCGACGAATTCCTCAAACTTTAGGCCGTGCTTCTCGGCGTACGGCTCCAGGATGTGCACAAAATGGTCGGCTTCCGTCTCGGGCGGCACTCCGAGACCCTCGGGCCGGTACCGCGACAGGCCCGTGATAGGGTCCAGGCGGGGCTCGGTGACCCAGACGCTGTGGTACTCCTTGATAGCGGCAAGGATGGCGGTGCGCAGGAACTCGATCGCGTCGGGCTCGTGCTTGATCTTGTCGTAGACGCGCAGGGCCATGTCAGTGAGGAAGGGCGGCTGGGATCGGCAGAGGTAGTAGGAACGCGTGGCGTTGAGGATCTTTCCATAGTGCTTGATGCAGAAGCAGAAGTTGAGCACCATGGACTTGGCCAGGTGAACCTTGTCATTGACCAGCAGGCCAAGAGACTCCATGTAGCTATCCCACCCGTACAGCTCGTTGAAGCGGCCACCGGGCACGACAAAGGGGCGACCCGACATGACAGTCTCGCCCGTCTTCGGGTCAACCGTTTCCTCCATGTCAACAGCCAGAAGGCCGGGCTTGTCGTTTAGGTCGCGCAGGAGCTCAGGAGTGATGTTCTCGGGAAGAAGCTGCACATCAAGCCGGATCTCGGGCCGTTGCTCGGCCAGCTTGGTGTAGTAAGCATACTGCTCGGGGGCGCCCCTGGGGACGTAGATGCGAGGACGCGGGTCATCGGTCCAGTCCTTGGGGTCTCGGGCGGCGATCTCGATGCTGGAGGCATCGATGCGGCGCGTCAGGGCGTCCCAGAAGTGGTCGCGGATCAGGCGCGACAAGCGGTTGACGGGATTCTCATTGAGGCGTGCCTCATCCAGAATAACCTGCTTCCGGCCGTACTCCTTGGCGAGAGAGAGCTCCTGGAGCAGGTTGGAGAGCATGTAGGTTCCACGGATGTCGAAGCGGTTGTGGCCGTTGGAAGCAGCGGTTCGGAGAGTCAGGACCTAAGCAGATGCGAACGGGCCACGGTCAGTTTCTATTACGATACACCTCCACATGCCGCGAGACTAGCCAGACATGTGGCACCAGGCACCGCATGGCGGGTGGGGCGACATGCAGCAAACCGGAGTGAGGGGCTGGGCGTAGGCATACCTTGGGACCATTGTCCTCGATGGTGATTTGCATGTTGCCATCGGTGTCCTCCTGCGACTGCAAGCTCTCGAGGGTCGGTTCCACTTGGATCAGGAACCGGCGGTTGGTGTTGGACTCGTCTGAGGTGGTGGTTAGTGCGACGGTTGGGAGATGGACGAGTCGGGTTGGGTGGCGGGGCGCTTACCGTGGCTGCCTCGTCGGAAAGGCTCCTTCAGGCCCAGGCGTTCCATTTGCTTCATCAAGCCATTCTGTGCCACAAACGTGACAGCGTCAGTCATGATGCATGTAAACAACTGTTTGAAGATCCGTCACGGCAACAAATACAATACACACCTGGGAGTAGGTTCGAGTCCTCGGACCGGCCCGCAAGTTGACATGGCGGTCATCGGAGGTGTAGTACGTCTTTGCATCGTCAAAAACGTTGTGGTCGTCCATTGAGCCGCGGGACCGGCCGCCAGACTGCGGTTGCGAACCCATGGCCGACGAGAGCGGGGTCTGGTTGGGCATGTCGTCAACAGGCCGAGGCCAGAAGGCTGTGCGACTATCGGTCGACTATCGTTCAACTGACGTTTGTCGTTGTTGTTGTTGATGGTGGAGTTTGAAAGCCCGATGGTGGGGTTGCGAGCTAGACGAGCTGGGTGGTATTGAGCAGACAAAGGAGCCAAGAGGGTCCCCGTTCCGTTGATCGGAGGAGGTAGGTGGATGGCGGCCAGTTGGCCCTCGTTCAGTCTTGGTCAATGTCTTTGGCAACAGGGTAAGGTCTGGATGACGGGAAGCGAGCGATGGCTGAGATCAGGAGAGGAGGCAATTCCAGGATCAGGAAAGATACCAGGCTATAGATATCGTTGGGTGGGAGAGCAGATTGCTGCAAACTGTCGGGTCGTGCCAGGGATTTGAAGTGGGAGGACTCGAATGTAACGGCGGGTTCTGGAGATTTGCAGGGAGCGCGGGACTGGAAATTGAATCGTGAGCCCCAATCAATAGCTGCAGGTGGCCCTCAACGATTCCCACCTGTGAAAGGGTGCGAGCGTGTGCGCGGGAGGTGCCACCCAGGCCAGGGGGGAGCTTCCGGCAGCGGAGTTGCCAAATGAACCTCTGTGATTAGCCAATTCGGGCTAGGGCGCATGGGGGTTCTGGCGTTTGCCTGTACTCGGCCGGGAGAAGGAAGCATGGGGGCACAGAAATTGAAGGTCACGCGGGCTGAAGAAAATGAAGGAGAGCGGGATGAAGAGAGGAGGAGGTGAGAAAACACCGCAGACGACAGCCGCACCGGTAAGGCAGGAAGTGGCGCTTTGGTTGAATTTTTATCTGCTAGTACGGCTGGAGATCATCGCCTCCATCGCCACATCACTGATATGACAGCATCGAAGTTGGGAGTTCCACCGCCTTTTTGTGGACTGGCTCCAGTCTTGTTGCTCTGGCTGGACTGCAGGGAGCCTCATCTTCCTCTCTTCCCGGATCCCCACATGCCTCGCTTTCGACGGGTCCAAGATGCAGGCCTAGCTTCACGAACCTGGAAGCTTACGGTAGTGCTCGCTGCAAGTGGGTGGCAGGGATGATGGGGTGCTGAAGCATGGCTGCCGCGCCGGCACTGGCTGCACCTGCAGACTCAACATCGTGCCTGCGTGCAAGAAACCTCCTCGATGGATGGCTTGTATGATAGCCCGGTACGTGTCTGGCTAAAGGTAGGTCGTTACTGCCCAGGTAAGGACCTCCACAAACAACACAGAGTTGGATACGCATTCCCCAGAGTATCTAGTGCAGGTATCGTGTACCTAATTTATATCCCTATTTCCTATATCGTTTCATTGGTTTTGGTATATCATTGTGATGCCTTTATCCGCGCACCTTGCTGGACCATGCGGCTGCTGTATCCCGCTAGCATAACCCTGGTCTCTGTGTAGCGAGTCTGAGTCGAGTGAACCGCCACGACCGTGTGCCCAAGCCAAGACATCACACCTCAACAACCACAGAGCACAGACAAACGAGCGGCGGCTTTCGGCCTTCCAATGACTGGCCAAGACAGATGACCTACCCCGCGCGCTTGGGGGTGTTAGTGCTCGTGGATGGCGTTGGGGCACGTTTGTCTCTGTCTGATGGCACATTCTCTGGCGGGATGGAACGGGGCACAGCGTCAAAGGTGGTGTCCACGACAGGGCTGTCTGTTGCTTGTGCGTGCTTTCACTGGCCAGACACAAGACAGCTGAGCAGCCCCACGTCAGATGGATTCAACTGCTCAAGCTCAAACTGCATGCTGAGCATGCTACTAGTAAGCATGCCTCTCCCGGCTCAAACTGCCTAATGACGTACCGTGCCCCTCGCTCTCTAGAGCTATTCCTCAATCCGACGCTGGGCAGCCCCATTGCCAAGAAGGCAAACCCTCATGAAACCTCAGCAGTGGGGGCAGGGATCTGTCCCCTGCCCTGCCCCAGCTGTCGCGCGTCTCCTATCTTTCGTGTTCCAACGCTGGCCCTGGGAGCCGTTACCTTCGCCAATTGCTTGTTGCTCGCCCTGGGCTGTCTTGAATTGCCAGCACAAGGAGCCCAGAGGCGACAGCGTGACAGCGTCGGTGCACCAGACATAGGCTTTGATCGCCTCGCACCCGCACGGGCGCTGTGTCGCCCAACCTCGGGCCTGCGAGTCGTGCAGTAAACACATTGATTGTCTCCATGTCGCGCGACCTGCCACCGAGCTGCTCAAGTGCCAGTCGCCAACCCAAAAGCCCATGCAAAAAGACTCTCGACGTTCCCAGGTTATGCATTTACGTTCTCTGTCCACATAACTAGAGTGGACGGCCTCCTCGCCCTGTCCCCGAGACTCTATGAGCCTTCGCCCCGGACTGGCCTGGCCTGGACTCTCACCACTGGACTCTCACACCCGTCATCCGCAATGTCGAGCCCCAATCCAAAGCCACAGCCGCCTCCAGCAGGGCGGGACGCCGCCATGGACCCTGCGAGAAGGCAGGCCAAGCTGGGCGTCACCTCGGGAGTTTACATACCCGTGTGCCTCAACATCCTGAGCATTCTCATGTTCCTGAGGTTCGGTCTCATTCTGGGCCGCATTGGGCTGTTGGGAATGCTCGGTAGGTTGCATATGCAACTGCACACCCCTTTTCGTCTCCATATATGCGTTTCGTCCAATGTGGTTTGCTGGAGAATTGAGTTTGGCTGATTCTGGGCTTGCAGGACTCCTCGTACTCTCCTACGCCGTTGACCTGTTGACGACGCTGTCTCTGTCAGCCGTCGCGTCCAACGGCGAGGTCAAGGGTGGCGGTGCCTATTTTCTGATATCGCGGTCCCTGGGGCCCGAGTTCGGCGGCTCCATCGGAATCCTCTTCTACCTCTCCCAGGTTCTCAACACGGCCCTGAACGTGGTCGGTCTCATCGACTGCCTGAAGCTCTATTTCACCACTTCGATCCCCGATGGCTACTGGTCGTCGTACCTGCTCGAGACGGGGGCGCTGCTCCTCTGCACCGCAATGTGCCTCGCCGGCAGCGGCATATTTGCAAAGGCCAGCAACGCCCTGCTTGTCATCCTCACCGTCTCCATCCTGAGTATCCCGCTTTCAGCCGTCTTAGTGCGGCCCTTTGTCGACTCTGGCCGCGGTGTCGAGTTCACAGGACCCAGCCTGGCCACGCTGGCCGGCAACTTGTGGCCCGCAGCAACCCGCTCCGGTACTCGCTCGGGTCCTTTCAGCATGTTCAGAGAACTATTTGGCATCCTCTTCCCCGCAACCTCGGGCATATTTGCCGGCGCTTCCATGTCTGGCGACTTGCAAAATCCCAGCAAAGCCATCCCGTCTGGCACTTTGTGGGCCATGCTCACGACGCTTATCGCATATGTCCTGGTCATGCTCTCCTTGGCCGCGAGCACCACCCATGCTTCCCTACTGCACGACGCCAACATCATACAGGCCACCAATCTATGGGCGCCCATAATCCTGGCTGGCGAGTGTGCCACCACCTTTTTCTCCGCGCTAATGGGCCTTATCGGATCGGCCAAGCTCATGCAGGCTCTGGCGAGAGACAAGCTGGTCCCCGGTCTCTCAGTCTTCGGTTTGGGGACTCGGAAGGCCGACGAACCCCTTCTTGCCATTTTCCTCACCTACGCGCTCGCCCAGCTGTCTCTATTTGCCAACCTTAACCAGATCGCTACTTTGATTGCCATGGGCTACCAGGTACAGTCTACCCTGCGCTCTCGGGACCGAGCAAAGACAAGGATGGCCAACGCCGATGCTAACATGAATTGGGCAGATGACGTTCTTTGTCATGAACCTAGCTTGCTTCCTGCTCAAGATCGGCTCGGCTCCGAACTTCCGGCCAGGTGAGTAATGCTTCCAACCGGATCGCGTGCTTTGGTCCCTGCAAAATGCTGATAGATAAACGCCCGTTTACCTTACTTAGCTTTCAAATTCTTCAGCTGGCACACAGCATTCGCCGGCAGCATCATGTCGGCCGGTGCCATGTTCTTCATTGATGAGACTTACGCGACCTCGGCCGTGTGTCTCCTGGTCTTCCTCTTCCTGCTTATCCACTACCTGAGCCCTCCCAAGCACTGGGGTGATGTGTCGCAAAACCTGATTTACCACCAAGTCCGGAAGTATCTGCTCCGTCTCAAGCCGGAGCACATCAAGTTCTGGCGGCCACAGATAATCCTTCTTGTTAGCGACCCCCGGCGACAAACCAGGCTCATCCAATTCTGCAACTCGTTGAAAAAAGGGTCTCTCTACATCCTAGGTCACGTCATCGTCACTGATGACTTCAAATCTGGTGTTCATGAGGTCAAACTTCAGCAGTCGGCCTGGACCCGGTACATCTCCGAGTACTCCAGGATCAAGGCCTTTGTGCAGCTCAACATGTCCCCCAGCATCACCTGGGGCGTGCGAAATCTGATTCTGTCAGCAGGGCTAGGCGGCATGAGGCCTAACATCGCCATTCTCGGTCTCTACAACATGGATGAGCTGCGGAGGTCGCGGCCACGAGGCAGCATTCCCGAGGCGCCGAGGTCCCGCCCAACATCGAGGACACGGAAGGCCCAGGATAACGGAAAGAGCAGTTCTGTCCGGCCACAAAGGCGGCGCGGCGACACAACGGCGCGGCTGTTGGAGTCGGAGCTGCCCACGGACGTGATCAGAACCGAAGAGAGGATGTCTCCAACAAGCTACCTCACCATCCTCGAGGACCTAGCGCTGCGCTATAGACTCAACGTTGCCGTCGGCAAGGGCTTTAGCCAGCTAGAGACTCCGCGGCGAGATGCGGGAAATTCAAAAAAATACATCGACCTTTGGCCTATACAAATGTCGGCCCAGGTTGAGGCGGATGGCAAAAACGTGGTCACGTCCAACTTCGACACTTACACGCTGATCCTGCAGCTCGGATACATCCTTCATACCGTTCCTGCCTGGACACGTGTCTTCAAGCTCCGCCTGATGGTCTTTGTGGAGTACGAGGATGAGGTTGAAGAGGAACGCCAGCGTGTTGCGGCACTGCTCGAGAAGCTGAGAATAGATGCCGAGATACACGCCTTCTCCTTAGCCTCTGGCGCCTTGACAACCTACGAGGCCATAGTCCATGGGAACTACAAGGACTCCTTCATTGAAAGCACCCTGGACGAGACGCTCAAGGGGGAGTGGTGGGAAGAACTCAAGGCGCAGCGGATATCTGGGGGTAGCCAGCCTGCAGGATTCGATGGAGGCGAGAGCTCCGAGGTTTCCCGAAGGCACTCTGGTGCAGGCTTCTTCGGGCTCATGGATAGCCCCAAGAGACATAGCGTCTCGTACATGGTCCGGGTAGGATTCAGTATGGGAATCCACGCCCAAAACCTCCCGCGCAACGCCTTCGATATCGGCCCCGTAAATGGTGGTGATAGCGACGACAGCGAGGATTCGGACGACGACTACATGGATGCCGATTTCAACGATGTGGAGAGCGCAGCGAGTGAGGCGGACCTCTTCGGCTTGACCCCTTCCAGAAGGCCGTTGCTAGACGATGTTTCGCGAAGAAAAAGCCATGGAGATGCGTTGATGCAAGTGTCGACATCCAAGAAGAAGCGCCCGCCTGAGAACGAGCCTCTTATCTCACGGGGACCGCAAAAAGCCTCATATGGCGCTGTTCAAGCGTCGTCATCCGTGGTGGAAAATCCTCGCCTCAGTCGCCAGGCTCCAAGTTCTCGGAGCGTGCCCGAGATCGTCTCAGTTGCTCCACCGAGTCCGATGCGGTCTTCTACCTTGCCTGCTCTACAAACTTCTGAACCGGGCGAGCAAACATCTAGGAGGCCTCCATTATCGAGAACCCAGTCTTCGGCACTGGCGCCACCAACAGCAGCTACTCTAAATCCCACGAGTCCCGACGAGCCGCGGCCGCTCGTGCGTCCAGCTTTCTCCAGAGCAAACTCGTCGAATCGCTTCACAAGCTCGCTGGTCCCAGAGACAAGAATCCTCGATGAAGGGGGCATAGCGGGAAGGAGCATCACGTTCGCCGTACCGGAGAACCATCCGAGCGGCGCTGAAGCTCTGACGCTTGGCGACGGTGAGGCTTCAGTGATAGGAGCAGCGAGCGATGTCCGGATCGACATACCGGAGCTGGTAGCGACCGCACAGTCGGGCCATCGGCGGGTCCTATCTAGGAGTCATAGCAACCAGGAAAGCGGCCGATCGTCTCCGGGCGGAGCACTAGAGCTGTCATTCAACGACCTCCCTTGCCGTGCGCAGCATCTCATCATCAACGAGCTGATGCGACAGAACAGCAACGATACGGTTGTGCTATTCACCACTTTACCCATTCCCGAGGAGGGCACATACGAGAGCGAGGAGGCCAGTGTCGAGTATCTCTCCGCCGTTGAGATATTATGTCATGAGCTACCGCCCACTCTAATGGTTCTGAGCAACAACATGACGGTTACCGTCAGCCTATGAGTTGTGTACGATTGTGCTGTGCGGAACAAGACTGCTTCCCATGGATGGAGGGCATGTGGTGGAAGACAGGCTGGAATGCTGCAGTGTATATGGCCGGAGCTAGACGCGTATCAGCTGTGGTCGCACCGCATCTGGAACGTGAGTCTGTCTTTGTTTCTCCTTTATGCAAGAGGCAAGGCGTGCGCTCGCCACAGTTTGGAAAACACCAGGGCGCACAATGGACCCTTTGCTCGTGCTCAGTTTCGAACTGCTGGCAGAGACAAAGAGGCGGCAATTGAACCCTGCCCTCAGGGGCAGCGCCCTCGTGGGCTCTTTTGTATTCCCTTCCCGCCTCTTCACTGAATAGGAGCCTCAAATACCGCATGTTGGATGTTGTTGAGGTATAAGGAGCGTTCAGGGATACTGAGATGTCAGAATGCCACGCGTCGGAATGAATGCTAATAATCTAGCCACGTCTCAACACATCATTTTTGCTCGTCCGAGCCAACAAGCACTCATAGTTTATCATGCGCCAGGGAGGAAACCCAGGAAGAAGCCAGGACAGGAACAGCGGCGGCAAGACGATCAAGGAACGCCTCAGCAACATCGCGACGGCCTTCCAGGCCGACCGCAAGCGAAGAAAACCGCCCCACACGGCGTCGCCTATCATCACGACGACTGCGGCTGCTGCTGCTGCTGCTGCTCCCGGTAATGGCAGGGGAAGCAGCCACGACCGTAACCGCCGAGCCGCGCCGGCCCCGCTCAAGTCGCCCGCGCTCCAACACTTTGTGCCGACGCACACCCCCGACCGGCCCAGCCGGCCCGTGAGGGACGCGCCGTCCGAGGAGGAGTGCTATGCGCTGTTTTCCGGGGGGAGGCGACAGCGCCAACAACAACAACAACAAAAACGAGAACAACAATACCAACAACATCAGGGAGCAGCGGCAGCAGCAGCAGCAGCAGCCACCCCGCCGTCGCTCTCGCTCCCGACAACGCGCCACGGCAGCTTCGCGAGCACCGGCGGCGGCGGTGGCGGCAGCGGCAGCTCGGGGCACGGCAGCGGCGTGCTGGTGGTGCACCTCGACAGCCCGCCGCCGCCGCTGTACGAGCAGCCGCGGCCGGCGCCGATGCCGTGGCTGACGAGCTCGGGCGGCGGGCCGCCTGGGACCGAGGGTTGGCGGCATAATCAACAACAGCAGCAGCAGCAGCAGCAGTATTACCGATCATCGCCGTCGCCGATGCGGCAGCAGTCGGCCGCGAGCAGCAGGAGCGGGTCGACGACGACGACGACGCATCGCCACCGCAACAAGGAGCTCCCGCCCCTGCGGACGGACGACAGCGCGACAGCGCACATGTGGCGTGGCGAGGGGCGGCCGCGAGGGATGCGGAGGGAGGACGACTGCGACCATGGCAGCGACGCGGGCTACCACCAGCCCTCCCGGGGCGAGTTCTCGCCGTCGCTGTCGCCGTCGCGGCACGGGCGGCCCAGGAAGGCGGCGGCGGCGGCGGCCTGCCGGCTGTGCCGCCGTCGCGCCTGCGAGCTGTCGGTCGGCCAGCAGGACGCGACGCTCTGTCGGCACTGCGAGCTTGCGCCCATGTCTGCCGCCATGGCCAGAGCCAGGGGCGAGAGCGGGAGCGTCAGCAGCCTCAGCAGCGGCAGCCACTACGGAGACGACGAGAGCCCTGCCAGGCAGCGACGGCGGCGGGCGCAGGAGAGCGAACCCCTAGACGACGCCGCCGCCGCCTGCTCCGAATACTCCAGCCGGGTCGGCAGCGTCAGCGGCGACAGCAGGGCCGGGTCGCCATTCCCGCTCGGGGTCGCCCGCGGCGTCGCGTTGACGGCGACGCCGTGCTCGCCGCGCGAGGTCGACGTCGTCGGCAGCCCGGCATCGGCGCGGTCCGACGCGGACCCGCGCCACCCGCACCACACGTTTGACTTTGGCTTCTCGACCGCCCACGCGGCAGAAGAAGAGCAGGACCGCGGTGGCGCGAGAGGAGACGCAGCAGTAGGGCCGGCGACGACGCCGCGGCGCCGGCTCGTGGTCGTGGAGCAGAGGCCCGTCATCGTCGCCGACGACGGCGACGAGGCGCTCGACTGGGGCACGCAGTGGAGCCCGGCTTACTACTTCGGGGAGCCTGGCGCGGGCGAGGCCGGCGGTGGTTTGGGTAAGGCGGTGCGGCGGCAGCTCGAGGCCGACAACGAGCGAGCCAGTGGCGGCTCCCACGACAGCATGAGCCCGGAGCCCACACCGACGTCGCCGATCCTGAGTCGGCTGCCGAGCGAGGATAGGATAACAAGGGCGGGTGTGTTGTGTGTGCCGAAGCGCCGCGAGGAGCCAACCTTGTTCATTTAGTCTGAGAATAGACTGCAGCATGCTCATACTCCCGCCCGCCTGTTGTGGGCTCCCGCTCAAGGGGGCTATCCGAGTTATCTATACCACCCCATTCCTGATATGAAAATCTTTAAGTTACAAGAAACGCATTTTGAAAGTAGAAACCAAAGTAGAAAACCCCTTGCGAAACTCCACCCGTGCTTCTACTCTATCGCCGTCCAAAGTCATCATAGCCATCTATCATCAGCTTTTCGAACCGCATTCTCGCGGCACAACTCTACGCGATCTTGGTCACCGTAAGCTGCCCCTTGGCGCCGTCTAGCTCAAAAAAGTCTCCCGCCTCGAGCCTCTTCTTCCACTTGGTGCTCTCGTAGCGGGCCAGGATCAGCGTCATGCGCAGCGGCACGCGGTCGCTTGACTCGTGCTCGCTCTGGCCGTCAGCTACGGCTGTGTAGGTCCACCTGCCAAAGGCCCAGTTGAGTATGTATCTCCCCGGGCCGGGCTCGGCCTCGGCGGAAGCGTCGGCGTCGGAGCCCTTGAGGCACGAGGGCGCTACGGGGGCGGCCGCGGTCAGCACGGCCTTGATGCGGTATACCTCGTCCTTGGGCGCCGATTTCAGGAGGGACAGCAGCTTGTCTGGGTTCACGGCGGCTGCGGGGCCGTCTGTGGCGGAGAGTGAGACGGAGAGCACCTCGACCTCGGACTGGTGGTTGTCGTCACCGTGAGAATGAGCATGGCCGTCGTGGCCATGGGCGTGGCCGTTGGTAGCCACCCCGTTCTCCGATGTCAGCACCTGGGCGAGGCCGCCGTCTATGCCAAAGACCAGGTCGATGGGGACCCAGCCCTTGCTGCTCTTGGTCCAGGCGACGTCGACCTCGAGGTCGCCCAGGCGGTCGAGGCACTCGTCGAAGCGGCGCTCGTCGCATGACTCCCACTTGTTGAAGACGACGAGGTCCGTGTACCGGGCCTGCAGGCGGGCCGTGTAGCTCGTGTCCTCGTAGCCCTTCCAGTTCTCCACATCGACGACGCTGACGACGCCGTCGAGCGCGTACCGGCCGCCCGTCTCGCGCGCCAGCCGGTTCACCTCGAGCGCCAGCGTGGCCGGGAAGGCCGAGCCCGACGTCTCGACCACGATGCGGTCCGGGCGCACCGATTTTTGCAGCTCGGCCAGGGCGTCGCCCAGCTGGCCGACCAGGTTGCAGCAGATGCAGCCGTTGAGCAACTCCTGCACGCCCGACACGGCGCCCGACGAGGCCAGCTGCGAGTCGACGGCCAGGTCGCCGAACTCGTTCTTGAGCAGCGCGAGCTTGTAGTCCGGGTTGGCCTTTTTGAGCTGCGGCACCAGGTTCAGGATCAGGGTCGTCTTGCCCGAGCCCAGGAAGCCCGTGACGATGGTGATGGGGATGGGGGCTGATGAAGGTGCCATTTTTGTTTCTTTTTTGAGCTTCCCCTGGGTCTGGAGCCTTCTGTACGGCTCGCTGTCTCGCTAACGGGAGACACTAAAATGAAAATGAACGGCTACAGCGACAAGGGATGAACTGATCCGCATTCGGCAGCTTCAAACCATTTGGGGAAGTCCTGGGTGGTAACAGTTGAGGAAATGCCTCAGACCGCCTTCCGTTTGCGGTGCTGAGTGCATCAACCCAACTGCTGAGACCCCCACCACCTCATCTTTTCCCTCTCTGGGTCGGCAGTCAATGGCTTAAGCTTAATTCGTGGCCCTGTGTTGGTCACTGCAAGGAGCACTGTAGTGTTGGAGTCAGGGGTTGGCATTTCTACCCTCGGTCTATTCCAGACAGAGCATCTCTTGGGAATTCAATGTTTTATCTATTGCTCGCTCTCCTATCTGTGCCTCGATATCAAACCAGACCGTGATAAGACAATGCTCAAATGTCACAAAACGGCCTGGCCGCGCTGTCTGCGTAACGCAGGCGCCGTTTTTTGCAGGCGCGGCTTGGCCCAGCCCACTGCCATCATCAGTGACGTCACATCACTCATTCCCTTGGGAAAGCAACCGCCCATCCAGCGCTCAAGTCACGAAGCATACGTAAACAGCTCTGGCTACAAATTGGCTTCGCATCTAATTCACTGTCGTCCACCGGCTGATGCCGAAATAAGTCATCTTACAAACATCCGCTCACTGGCGTAATCCTACTAAAATCTACAGTCCTCCTACTTTCACCAAACCCCCTTCACCGAGATATCTACCTAGCTCTAGACATGGCGTCCAATGAACCTCAAACCACAAACCTCGACTCCGAGAGCGAAACCGTAGGCTCCACAGCCTACAAGCTACAGCTAGACCAAGCCGCCAGAGACGCCAACGCGAAGCCCAAGAGCCCAGAGGCCAAGCCTGGCGACGCCCACCCCATAGTGGAGACAGGTGAGCTTGTCGTCCCTTCCGAGCGTGGGGACGACGGTCCATTAACCGCAAACTCCGCCTCTGGCAAACAGTGGCTCAGTACGTTCCAGCCGTCGGCAAGCTGCTGGCTGGCAGCAAGGGTGAGGTCAAGAAGCCGACCCCGTTCCCTCAGGAGATTCCTGGCCCGCCCGAGCGTCCGGCCCACGACACCCAGATCGAGGAGTTTGTCAGGGATCAGCACAGGAGCAAGACGGATGCGCTTCTAGAGGACAAGGTGCAGTGACGACCATGACTCTCGTCTTGGGTGCGGAAGGTCTCCAGAGAATGGAAAATCATAGAACTCAAGCCTATTATATGTAAACTAGAGCACACGCAAGGTCAAACACGATACTGTTTAGTATCCTGTGAGGTTCTACTCATAGCTTGTGCTCTGTATTTACGCCATGTTCCTTATGTGTTCTACATCTATCTAGATGAGGACGTGCCCGGGCAAACAAGACAAATTTAGAGATGGAAGAACAGCGCACCAAATGCCAGATGCTATACAGACTTGCAAGAATAGAACAAGAGTAGATGAGTGGACTGAGAAAACGACCTTCGTACCCCAGACAAGCAGAGTACATTACACCCAACCCTGTCCTGTGAGCAACGTCACGCCAAGCACACAACACAACCACAAGCCCCTCTTCCCCACTCTCGCCGACGCAGGAGCGGCAGCCGTGGCATCTGGCGGCCGCGTCGAAGCCGTCTCCGCAGGCGCGGAAGTGACGGCCGCATTGGTGGTGGCAGGCGAGGCCGTGACGCCGTCGCCCTGGATGTCGACCCCGGCCGCCGTTCGCTCGTCCGTGGGGAGCGGGCAGGTAACGACCTGGGTCCGGGTGGCGCACCTGTCGCAGACAACGGTCGAGGTGACGAAGTTGGGCGGCAGGGGCGGGCGGGTCCACGTGGACGGGTCGCCGACACACGTCTCGATGATGGTCCACGTCGCCGCCCACACAGGGGTCGGGCAGGTCGGGCAGACGGCGGTCGCGATGTAGATGTACTGCTCCGTGTACTCGGTCGTGACTGTCGGTGCCGGCGCCGGCCTTGTTGATGTTGCGGCGGGACCTGTGGGCGCGGCGGGGATGGGTGTGCAGTAGAGGAAGATGGATGAGGTGAGTGAGACGCTGGGGATAGGTGTTAGCATTGTCTGGTCCAGGTTTGAGCCACACCTTCCCTCGACCGCCACGATGACGGGGAACAGAGAGGTGCCATACCTCATATTGTATATGCGTTTGTCCTGTTGTCATGACCTGGGGGGCCGACAGACGAAATGGTCGCTAGATCTTTAGCTACGGGGATATGGAAGTTGACGAGAGGAGGCTGCGTTTTCTCCTAGTATATGAGGAATAGAAGATCTAGATCTAGCAGCATGGGAGCCTCTTGGAATCAGCAGAGGGGGGTCGACTTCGACTCCGAGAGCATGCCTAGTGGTCTTTTAAGAAGAAGGACCGAAAGGTGCCCGGCCATCGCTGGACTGACCAGGCCGCACGCAGGAGCCTGAGAGTCTCGGCCCTGCTCTCAAGCATCAAAAGGCCAAGCCGGGAGCACGGGAGGGCGTCAGCCACATCACTTTGGCCGGCCATGGCGATTCTGGATGCCGATCCAGGTGCCGCGGTCCGTTTTGGGGAATGTTGGTGTAGATAGCGCCGCGGCCGCAGTCATCTCAGGTCAAAACAAAGACGAAATGACGGGCGCCATGTCCGCTGACCCAACAGGACTACTCGCCGGATCCGGCGTCGACGTCGCCATTGGACGGCTTCGCCTCTGGGATCAAGACATTACCCAAAGAGGGCTTGGTCTGGCACAAAGGTCAGCGGGGCGTCATCATTTGCATGTCTGCCCGGCGACCGTTGCCATACGAGATGGCGCATTCCAACGCTGCGACACGCAGGCAGCGAGGCACTCGAGGGAGCTTGAATCATATCACGGCAGGGCAGATCGCGCCGAAATGGCCTACTATGTTGGGTCAAGATCGTCAGGCACGCGGAAGATCGTCTACTATGCGCAAGAAAAAAACATCACCATGGAATGTCTCCCCAAATTTCAGCACCTCTAGCCCACGAACACGCGAAGGAGTTCAAGGCACGAGGCTTCCTAAGTGTGGAATATTCATCTCCAGAGAGTGCCCTCAGATGAGGGCAGGCAACCTATCACCGTAGAAGATCGTGGTGCTGGTCGTGGCAGTCTCTGTGAACTTTTTGATCTGAGGAGAGGAAGGAAGGAAATTTTTCAAAGAGGCGCTCTCCGTCGAAGGAAGATATACCATCACAGATAGTGCACAGACCACACCTAAAAATTTACCTCACGTGATTGGCTGGTGGATTCTCTGCCCTTCCGTGGATTTTGTAACCCTAACCCAATCTTAGTCCATCCCATCTCCATCTTGTGCGCCGACAACTCAACGATCAACCTCCCGCGGAGACTGTGTCTCGCAGGGTAGCCGCTGGATCATTACCACAGCGGACCTACCGACGGGCCCCTTCCCATCCGCGACCCCGAATCCCACTGCTACACTCGCGAACAGCATACCACCCCCCGGCGCGCCGACGCGCTTCACAGGTGGGCCCGACCGCGCCCGCCCGCGGCCATGGCGGGCGACGACTACACGGTGGCCGGTGGCGGCGGCCTGCGACTCAAGGGGGCCAAGGTGAAGAAGCACAAGAAGAAGAGCAAAGACAAGTCGGCCGCGGCGGACAGGCTTGACAAGGCGCTGTCGTCTGGAGACGCCGCCGCCGCCGCCGCCGCCGCAGACGACGATGAGGCCGCCAAGGCGCTCGTGGTGGGCTCCGCCGGGAAGGAGAGCAGTAGAAAAGACGGGGGCGAGGAGGACGATGACGGCGCGCAGCCGGTGCAGTACAAGACGGAGGCTCAGCGCCGGTTCGAGGAGGCCAAGAGGAAAAAGGTACGCGCTGCCTTGGACCCCGACCTGTTGGAATTCTGATCACCTCCTCCGCCATGCCCGTTCTTTCTTGGCTAACATCTCATATTCTTTGCCGCCCAGCTTCTGGAGATGGCCGAATCGGCCGCCGCGCGCCCGGAGCTGCTAAAGACGCACAAGGAACGGGTCGAGCAGCTGAACACGTACCTGTCCAAGCTCAGCGAGCACCACGATATGCCCAAGATTGGACCCGGCTAAAAACTTGATTGGCCGCTGCTGCGGCAGTCGCGTCGCATGCGCTGGGGAAATGGCGTTCAGGGGTCTTTACGGGAGCGCCCATCTTGTTGATAATTACTGCTTCATGCTATTCACGCCTGCTGATATTATTTTTTCTTGAATCTTTATGATATCGGTTTACACAGCAGGCTTCTACTATAATTCTCCAAGTCTGCCCCGCAGCTCGACTACATCCTGATCAGTGATTGAATCCATCGCCATTTCGGTTGGGTCCTGCAAGGCTGCCTACGAGGCCTTCGTCGACAGTACTCATTCACATAGGTCCCGGCCAAGATATGGACCCCTATGGTATGATGTAATGGCGACAACTACAAATATGCTTCATTTGGCCACGGCCTGAGGTGGTGTCGGCGAGAGCTAGAATCAGCCAAGACTCAAAAGGTTTCCGGACAGCGGCACGCCAAGAACGAAAACACTTGTCGCAACCCGGCGTCCGGTGTGATATCAAGGAGCCGCCCGAAGCCCAATAGCGCGTTGTCGTACTCGGCCTAGGTGGGCCGGCCACTTTCTTGGGTGTAAGATCATGGATGCGGCGCGTGCACAACAAAAAAGCCGAGGACGTGCGGCCGTAATATGAGTCCTCGGCATCAACTTCAAGCGTTCCAGAGTTTAGCAGAGTCTTAACCACCGGTTCGAACCCGCCTTCGGCTGCGTAAGACAGCGGTGTGCGACCCGAAGAGTCCTCAGCATCAACGTCAACGGTTCCAGAGTCGATCAGGACCTTGACAGCCGATTCATTGCCGTATTGTGCTGCGCAGGAGACTGGAGTCCGCTGAATACGGTCCCTCGCATTCCCGTCATGTTGAAATGTACGATGCGAAAAGGACGGGTTTCATACAATAGTCGAAGAATTTTGTATGGGTTTGAATCTGGACAGCATCCTTGTACCCTCGCTTGAATCCAAGGTCGCAGGCGATACTCGCCAGGTACGTGAAGCAGATCTTGCCGAGCCATTGGTGTGCTTGCACTGGGCTGAGAGATGACTTCCATATGCGCCGTAGAGCGATTACCCGGCATGGTTTGTCATGCTGAGGATTCTCGGGGCTGTCGTTCTCAAACTCGTCGCTGGTAATATCGGAGGCGGCAACAGGCTCAGGCGGAGCACGGATGGCATCAGCGTCAGCCAGGAAACCCCTCGCAGTCTGGTGGAGAAAATAAACCCTCCGGTCCACGACAGTGGCCAAGGAGCCGCATAGCTCCGCGAGCTTGGCCCGGACTTGGCCTTCGGGAACTGGCTTGAGACCCTCGATGGAATAAACTTCGTGATCTGTAGCGCGGCTCTTTGGCAAACAACTAGCTGTCCAAGCGGCACCGAGCTCTTCGATTGTTAACGGTCTGATAGCCGCAAACAAAGTCCAGAGCACTCTCATTATCTAGCCGGCGGTGGGGCCGTTGTTCAGGTTGCTTAAGATTTTGTCGTAGAGCTCCCTCTCGGGAGCCCCTGGGAACATGACGTCGCCCCATTTGCTCAGGTAGTCGTACATGAGACGAGCCCAGAGGTATGTTCGGTTCGGGGCGCGCGTCAGCGCTTCCAGGACCGTTTTTTCTTGTTCTTGGCTGAGATGCAGCACCCTGCCCAAGTATTTGACCTTGCTTCGCACTACCTTTTCTATTTCCGGCGCGACCAGGCAGCCTCTCGGCTGCGCCGTCGCCTTGCAGGTAGATGGAAAGCTGCCGATTCCCTTCGGTGTTGACCGGGCCGGCTTTGGAGATCGACCTCGGGACGGCTGGTCAAGAGAAACTTCAACCTGCAGCCGGAGGCGGGAGGCTGTTGCTGGGCGGTGTCGCCGACGTGTGTCGGGCCATAGAACCTGTGCAGCGACTCGGCGATCAGGACGCGCCCCTGGCCACGGCATTTGTCCAGCCCGTCCATGACACAAACGATCTCGAACGTCCCATTCTGGGCTGCGACTCCTGTCAGCAGGCCCCAGAGGTCTCGGTAAGATGCAAGGAGGCTGTCGCCGATACGCTCGAACCTCTAAAGAATATATTGAGTGAGAAGGGCGGGGGCTTTGCCGAATATCTGGTGGAGGATGCTGCACAAGGCACGGAATGTGGTTGCCGAGACACTCCGCACACTAATGGTCTGTAGCAAAAAGTCTCATCGGCGCGAGAGATTGCATCGTAGGGTAGAGTAATGATTTGAACGAACGGGTATGCCATATCAAGTATAGGGGGAAGCTATAAAACCCCCAACCTTGACATCACTATGCACAATATTAAAAGATACCAAGGGCAAACTTCCCTCCTAGCTGAGCTGGGAATGCAGATGTAACCAACCAAAAGACAAAAGGGATCTATTATCCAATCCCACATCAACCAGTTCTATAACCAGGGAGATAGGTTCCCACCTAAACGCCAGTACGTCGTGTGCTTCGTACTCTTCAAGGTGGCTTCTCTATGACGAAGCGGTATCAAATCGAGCTTTGAGCAACCCGGATATGCCATCGGGTATTAAAATCAGAGGGCTTTGCGCCAACAATGCAGGGAATGCGAGGGCCATCAACAGGACCCAGTGTGCTTTTCAAACAAAACAAAAAAGGAAAAGAAACCGAATAAGGAACCGCAACAATCAAGGGGACGAGTCCCAGTCTTGAGGCCAAATGGGTCTAGACTAGGAACAGGCCCCCAATGACCACACCAGCCAGGGCCTCGACCCCCACACCGCGGGGCCTGGCGACAGCAGCGTTCGTCTGGAGGCTGCCGCCGGCCTGGGTGCGGTCGGCGGTCTCGGCAGGCTCTGCAGGGACAAAGGTGGTGGCCGTGACGACGGTGACTTCGCCATTGGAGGCGGTCGACGTGTACGTAGTGGTCTGCGGCTTCTGTGGGCGCGGGGTTGAAGACGAGGTCCTGGTGGGAGGAGTCGTAGTCCCGGCGTCTACAAGCGGCGCGTGGGTTAGTGGCGGGCATCACAAAAACGTAAGCCGAAAGGAGAAATGGAGGAGGCGGTGACAGAAGCAAAGCATGCTGGAAACTATGAGCCACTGAAATGGCCAGAGATACCAACATACCGACACCAGATGAGGTCTTAGCCGCGACAGATGTGGTCGTGGACACAACGGAACCAAAGAGAGTTGACAGTGAGGAGGCAGGACGCGAAGACATCAAGCTTGTTAACGTACCAGGATTGGAACTTTGGGAGCGTGTGGTGGAGGTTGTTGAGACAGAAGGAGTAGTGTTAGGGGTTGGGGTAACGCGAGGCAGCTGCGCGGTCGGGGTGTTGTTGTCCACGGGGGGCGTGGCGGTGGTGGAGGTCGTCGGCCCCGGGGCGGTTCCGTTCTGCCTCCTGGCGATTCGGGCCAATGACGTGGCGAGGGGCGGGTCGGCGCGGTGGACAGCCTCCATTGCGGAGTGGTCCGACTCGTAGACGCCGTCCTTGAAGCGATTGGGGAAGTAGCGGTGCAGGACCTCATGCAGAGCCTCGGGCGAGACGGCGTCCATCAGGCAGGCGAACGGGGACTCTGTCTGCGTCGATGATGCCATGTCTTTGATGGGGTCGGGCAACGGGGCCTGCGCGCTGCCACTGCTGGCGTCTTTGACATCATGTGGTGGCAGACATGAGTTCTGGCGGGTGGGCGCCGCTGTCGTCAGGCCCAGCCAGAGGACGAGGCAGACAGCAAGCCCCAGGAAGAGGCGCCGTGGCGTCAACATGCTTTGTTGTGGGTGGTCTCTGGGCTCGGGGTGGGTGCTCGGTGTCGACGTTAAGCCTGCTTTTTCCGATTGCGCAACAGGAAGACCAGCCTCGAGCTCTCGTGCATCCCTCGCCTGGGGGCGGTACTGGGAGCCCATGATGAGATATAGAAAACTGATGGGCCACAATGTGGGGTTGGCCGCTGCAGTTGACGAGGGCAATGGGAGGGGGTGGCAGGGCCCAGCAAAGCTTGTTCTAAACAGGAGGAAGGGAGAACTGCGACTCGCTGAGGTTTCCACTGCAAGCCCAACCAAGGGATCCAAAACCGCAGAAAACGGTCCGAGGCCCAATCAGTGGGTGGGTGCTCACACCGATGCCGCGCGTGCTGGTGATGATCCTCCCTGCAGGCTCCGGCCGGCGCTAAGGTTTGGTGGGCTCGATGTCGGATAGGAACAGCCGCGGGAGAGCAAACGCCACCGCCGAGTGGATGATGGCGAGTATCCGTCGCTGGTTCCACAGGGGCGAGTGTTGGGTCTGGGCGACGCAGAGCAAACGATGACGATGGGATTTAGAGCGGTGGTGGAGCTGGTTCTGGGTGCTGGGGGTGAGCCCAGGTGCGGGGAGGGGCTGGCGATGAGGGAATAAGGCAGTCAGTCGGATGAAAAACGCGGCTGCTACGGGTTGGCAGAGTCGGCGGCTTTTGACTGGCGGTTAGCGTTCGATGGTGGCGGCGAAGTTGCTTTAGAACGTTTCGTGCCGTTGTCTCGTCGGCGGGCGACTGGGGCGGAGCAGTAAGCAGCCAGCAGCTCAACTAATGCACGTTTCTGGAGAATTGGGCTGACGACGGACGCAGCTTGGCTTGGCTTGCATGCGTGAGTGTGCGTGGGAGGCGAGGGATGTTGGCAGGATATATAGAACGGGCGAATTCTGGAAACCAGGCTCAATATATGGATGCGACTGGAAGCCGTTCTTTCCATCTCGCAGCCCAACCACCTGCCAATTCCACCACATCCCCGTCCCTTGGAGCTCGTAACCTCAATTCTCCCAGGATCAGGCTCCAGGGGCGACCCAGGTTGCGGTTTGCCGCTGGCTACTGGCGGTATCATGACGCGGAACCGACAGGGGTTGTGGCTGGGCCGCCACTGCCAACCGCTTGCGACTCCCCACCCTTTTTTTAGACGGAGGCTGGCACCCCACGCACCGGACGACACGGCTGGCATCGCGCACTGGTTGTGGCTTCTTTCAATGGAGCGCAGAAGCTTCAGCACTGCACGATACGGGCGCGAAGCCCCACCAGTTTTCGGACTTGTCCCCAGCCAGTCACCCCGACTCCCTAGCCTACCGCGCCAAGCTGGGCTAGCGCGCCTGTCTTCGGACCCACGGCAGAGCACTGCCGTGAACGTTTGATTTTTTGTTGTTGTGTGAATCGTGGTCACCAGCACAGCGGCCCGGAAAAGAGTCGGATCGGTTCTTGTTTAAGATCGGCGGAATCCGCTATCGAAAAATTCATCGTGTTCGTGTCATCATGGGACACGGGAAGAGGAAGAATGACATGGTTACGCAATCGACCGCCCCAGTAATGCGCGCTGGCCTTTTGTTCCTTTCCTGCTTTTTTGCACCTTTGGTGCCGTTGCCTTCGGAAGCACAAGCCGGTTCACCGACGTCAATTTGATGCGGTTTTTGCAGCCTGCGGGGCCCGCGTGGGCCAGTCCCGCTTCTACCAGCTCACAGACCAAGGCTGTGCTCCATCGGTGGTTGACCTAACACGCGGTGCACAACGAAAGGCTGCCAAAAGACCAAGACAGAAGACGAGATAAGTCTCTCTCTCTCATATGATCTTTGCTGGGGTTTCATGTGGCTCGTATCTGGCTGTAGTAGCCTTTTGTACAACTCTGGGCCAATGGGGTCGACCAAGTGTCTGCATCTGCATCTCCAGCTGTGCTCCTTCAGTCAGCTCTGCAGCTGCGGCTGCAACGTGCTTTTCCCGGCCCCTCGTCGGCGCTCTGGCCTGTCATGGTGAACACCCTGCATTTTCTCATGCCTCTCGGACGACGCCGGGAATGCCAGCACTAAACCCCGGCCCAGTCACAGGGATCCGGTCTGAAAAGAGAGCTGAACACGAGATGGTCTTTGCCATGCGGCGGGCCCAACCCTTGACATGACCTGGCATGCATCCGAGTGCTGCAAATTGGTGTTTTTTTTCTCCATTGCTATTTCTTGCCTTCCATCTGATGGTCAGTGCTTCATCAAAAAGGGGGGAGCTCGCCATTGACATACAATGTCCTTGTTCCGCTTACTATAGTTCTGCTATCAGACACCACCACAACCAAAACGCAGAGTATGCGGGCGGCCAAGTTGCAGGGCTGACCCCCCACGACCTGCGACTGCGCCGTCCCATTGCCTAGCACTTGTTCGTGTTCGCACTCAATGGAGCTTCGAGGTCTATGTTTGGATTGATGCAACCTAGTCACTGAGGCGCCGCAAGCCCTATCCAAGGTGCCAAGCCAAGGGAGCGTACAGGTATTCCGACCAGATACCTACAAGAACAAATGGCTTTGTCAGCCCGTGACACGGCGACGGGCAACGGCAGACTGCACACTGATTGTTTACACAGCCCCTGAATCCCAACGACCAACCAGTTCTCCAATACGCAATTACGTGTCGGCTCGTGCTTGATGAAGCCACAGTGGTCCCACTGTGATGACGCCGTGTGCCCTGTCTGGTTAGGCGCGCTGGTGGAGCTGATGGTATGGTCTGGTCTTTTGCGGTGGGTTGCGCTTGCTTCATGCACGGGTGCTGGAGCTTGACTTGAGCTTTCATGTGACGACAGACGACAAGCCATTGGACTGCGACATGCAAACATTTTGAGCCCGCTCAGACACAAATTTCTCCCAGCGCATTGTAAAACTTAGCTTAGAAGTCTGAGCGACCATTGTCTCCCACGAGCCAAACCCGACGAGCTGTGAACACCAACGTCTTGCCGCGCAACCCGTTAGATGCTCCCCCCAGAGAGCCTGGTCGATGCCACCTTGCCCGCCCCGCCGTCGATCAGCACCCGGAGAGAGGTCTAGAGGCAGCCACGTAACAGCACCCGCTAGGCTGCGACATGCCAGATCCCGACGACCAGCCGCACCTTCTATCCGCTGCAGATGCCGCGCTCCCCTCGATTGGCATCTATGACGACGACGGCGACGACGGCGAGCTGAGGTTACTGTCCCGCTCGCCGCACCCCTACCACCGCCAGCGCTCCGAGCTCCTTCACCCTTCCGACCGACTGTCTGCGCGCACTTCTGGCACACGCCACCCGAACCCCCGCTCCGACGACCGCGACGCACTACACCCGTCTACCGTCGCACTACCCGCCGCTGCTGCTGGCAGCAATAACAACAAGGACTCGACCACTACGAGCGACAGTGGCACCGATGCCGACGACGAGCACTTTCTCAAGGGGCTGCCCGCCCCCCGCACCAGGTGGCATAAGGGTCTTCGCGGGAGGAACGAGCCCGTGTCTGGCACCTCTACCCCGCTGCTGTCCCCGGCGCTGCTGGAGGAGGAGGGCCGAAAGGGTTCTCAGAGCCCCAAGCAGGACCCCTCTCTCCGCGAGCGCCGCGCCAACGCCGAAAGGACGCGCCGGAGGAGGGAGATCTTCCGCCGCGTCACCGAATTCCTCGTCCTCTTCTCCCTCGGCGCCATACTATATTCCAACCGTGACGTGAAGCCATTTGTGCACGCATGGAGCAGAGGTCGGTTCTGTTGGTCTACCGTGGCACTACTAGGTACATATTGCCTGGCATTGGCTGACGCTTGCGTTGTATAGAGTTCATAACGCAGTCTGTCCTCGCTGCCATTCTGGTCGCCATATACCCTCTCCGCGTCGTTATATGGGCCTACGCACAAGGAAGCCCCTCAAAGCAGCTGTCCTTGGCCATCCCTGCCTCGTTCGACCCCGCGCCACTCTTTTATCCGACAACGATCCCGCTATACGTCTCGCTCCTCCTCGCGCCCATGAACAAGTTTGTCATCTTGCCAAACCTTGTCCTCAGCATCTCTGCGATGCCCAAGCCGCTGATACCATTCGCCGAGTCGAGCGAGCTTTGTTCCCCGGTGCACTGGCTGATATCCACCGTGCCCATGATAGTCAGCGGGCTCAAGGCGCACGAATGGGGGCTGGGCCGGCTCGAAGCCGTCACCATCAAGGAGACGGCAGTGCTGCTCTACCCGCTCCATCAGAACCTGTGCATGCTGCTGCACCAGCTGACGACTACGAGTCTTCTTCCGGCTGAGCTGCAGATGCTCTCTATTGCCCTTATCAACATCTTACTGCTCTCCACCTCCCCTCAGATGGTCATCCTCAAGGCTCTGCTTTGGGGTGGCGGCCTCGCGCTTCTCATCATGTGCGGCCATGTGATCCGCTGGGGCATCACGCTGGCCCGGGTGCCCAAGTGGCGTTTCAGGCGTGTGCCTCCCGGGTCGAGGAGCCCGACCTTCTTCCGGTGGCTCTCGAGCATGCTGCCCACCCGCCGCTTCCGCTACCGTAGCACTGCAGCGGATCAGAGCGATAGCGAATCGTGCACTCTGAGCGACATAGACGACCACCTCCACCCCCACCACGGGCGTTCCTCTTTGGACGCTCTTAGGGAAGGACCTTTGATTGACGGCGCGCCTGTTAGTCCAACCGAGATACTCGCAATTCCTTCCGAGGAGGAAAGCAGAGAACTGCGCTTTGCGGCCCAATCTCTGGATGCCCAAGGCGGCATCGACTTCACTCCAATCAGGAGACACACCCTGCCAAGTGTGTCGGCTGTCAACGCCCGCTCCAAGACGCACACGCCGTCTGGGCGACGAAAACGATCGGCGTCATCGAGCATCCGAGCCTTCTTCTCGCTCACGCAGGCCCAGGCCACTGCCAGAAAATGGGTTTACGCTGCGTGGGTTTACGCCTGCATTCTGGGCATCATCCTTGCCGGGATCCGTCCCTACGTCGGGCGCTCAGCCCTGAATGGAGAGGAGCCCATCGGCTGGGCCCTCGGGTATCTGTTTGGAGGTCTCAACTGGGTCAGGCTCCAGGTCGAGATGGCAAACTTGGAGCGTTGGATCTGCCTACCGCCGCATCTTGACCCAGAAGAGCAGGACCAACCCAACGCCGGCTGGGTGGAGCACATCCGACATGCCATCCTTAGCGAGGCCAACACGCGCCTGGCGCTCAGCGCGTACTGGGTCTGCATCATCGTGATGGGACTGGCCGTGGTATTCAGGCTCACGCCCATCTATGAGGTGGATACGCGACGAAAGGTGTTTCACTTCATGATGGTTGGCATGCTGCTCCCAGCCACGTACGTGGACCCGAACTACGTGGCTCTGGCCCTGGTCCTGGTGCTCGCCATCTTTCTGCTGCTGGACCTGATCCGGGCCAGCCAGCTGCCGCCGCTGTCCAAGCCGATCGCGTCCTTCCTGACCCCTTATGTCGACGGACGCGACCTCCGCGGCCCGGTCGTCATCTCGCACATCTTCCTGCTCATCGGCTGCTCCATCCCGTTGTGGCTGTCACTCGCGGCCATCGGACGAGGTGGGAAAGGGGCTCTCCAAGGCTGGGAGGCGCCGACGCGAGACGTGAGCATGGTGTCGGGCGTCGTTTGCGTCGGTCTCGGCGACGCGGCTGCCTCTCTCATCGGCCGCCGCTGGGGGCACCGCAAGTGGGTCTGGGGCGGAGGCAAGTCGCTCGAGGGCAGCGTCGCCTTCGCCGTAGCCGTTTTCGTCGGCCTGGTCTCAGCTAGCGCCTGGCTGCATATTGGCGGCTGGCCCATCTCGGGTGAGGTGCCGCGGCGAGAATCAGCGGTCGCAGCTGGTTACGTGGGTGCCTGCGGGCTCGACGGCACCGGTGCCGCCGGGACGCTGTGGGAGTGTGCATCGGCCTGGTGGCGCTGGCATGTGCCGTCGGCTGTGTCATCCTCGGGCGCCGCGGCCGCGGCCCAGCACCTCGTCTCCGGGCTGACGCGGCCAGCACGTGGTGCGGCCGTCTGCGGCGCCATGGCGAGCCTGACAGAGGCCGTCCTGACGGGCGGTAATGACAACGTGGTCGTTCCCGTCGTCCTGTGGACTTGCGTCAAGAGTCTCGGGGTCTGATTCGGTCCAAGGAGGGTTGAGGCCCATTCTATAATGGCTGTTATATCCATCGATAAACCCCGTCGAGACATCTTCTTTCTCCGTATATCTAGGTGCCTTTGCATGCCCACCGTAGGCATTCCTATATCTTGTAAATAGCATTTCATCATGACGTTATATTCTGGGAAGCCGGTCTCAAGGGTTCTTATGGTCAGGCTGCTATGGAAAAACCATTTCGGTTGCGTCAATGCGAAAATCTTTTGGTGGGCGTTAATCAAGGCATGACGGCCATTATCTGTTTACATGTAGCATTTTATGTTGAAAACGCCTTGGGGCTGGGGTTCTTTGGCGTCGTGGTCTTCGCATCCGGTTTCTTGTTGTGGTAGCGTCCTACTCGATCCCCGTTTTCTCTTATGCATCAAGGGACGTTCATGTCTTGGAAGCTGGCCAGTGCAATGAAGCAGAACCAAGGCAAAAAAGAAAAGAAAAAGAATTCTCCCCTGTTGACAACACTGCATTGAAGCCATCTCAGGCATTTGAGGAGGGGTAAGTCTTGTGCAGTTAGTAGTGGTGAGCGAGCGGCCCGGTCCGTGCGTGGTAACGGGGTGATACAGGAGGGTTATCCATTCCGTCTTCACTTTACATAGCCAGATACATCACATGATTAGGTAGTGACGAGATAATAATAGACAACATGGCTGCATTTCGGTCTAGTTATGGATCTTGCCCAATGTAATACAAGGGGCGATGCAATAATCACGCAGATAACCACACAAACGCCAGGGGTATCATTCCGTCCTCTCTCAGTGCGCGCCGCTGCCGCAGCTCACAGCTCGTCGTCCTCCGAATCGTCCATTATGAAAACAGACGACGTCTTTTGGAGCCGGGGTCTTGCCGTCGGGGCTGCCTCCTTGCCCTTAACCAAAGCGTGGTCCGACTCCTCCCCTTCCGTCTCACCGTCCAGCATGTCGTCATCGTCGCCTTGCGTCTCGTCTCCGTCGAGACCTGATATCATCCCTCTCGGATTGGCGGCGGATTTCGGACCATCCAACGGCTCGTCTTTAACCTCCGTCCGGATGCCCATAGCGCCGGCACATTCACTGGGCGGGCCCTTTCCAACAGCGCCTGGCGACTCACCGTCAGGCTCGGGCTTGATGTAGATGCCCGCCGGCGAGTTTGCCCCGCCGGCGCTGCGCTCATCCTTCGCTTCGGGCTTGACCTCGCCGGCAACGTCACCCTCCTCCCCTTTTGGCTTCTTCCCTGCGGCGTCGGCCTGGCTCAGCAGCTTGGCCTCCCTCTGCTTGTAGAAGGTATCCAGGCAGTTCCGCCGCTGCTCCTGTGTCCAGCCCTCGACCACGAGCGCGAACTCGGTCGCGCTCGCAAAGCCAAAGTCGCGTGCCATTGTGCAGAACTGCCGCACCATGACGTCCTGCGGCGGGTTGTAGCGGAGCCGGAGCCTCGAGCGGTGGCGGCTGAGCGGCGTCGTGGCCTTCCCTTTGCCCTTGACGTCCACGTTGCCGCGGTCGTCCTCGCGCTTTACCGTCGGCCCTTCGTCTTCCGAGTAGACCTGATCCGGGTCCTGTTCGGCCTCGATGTCCTGGCTATCGAAAAATAGCGCCCGGTGGCCCCCCGGGTCGTCAGCGGCCAACTCGGCCTGCCGCGACAGCTGCGCTTCGACCTTGCTGGACCCAATGACCTCGGAGTTCTCGTGTGTATACTGCACCCCCGCCGACGCTAGGATAGCCTGGACTGCGTCACTCTTGCCTTTCCTGACCGCCTCGCTTTGGGCGAGGGCGGCGTCCTCCTTCTTCACCTTGCTTTCCGCCGTGAGGAACTTGGCGAGCTGGCCGGCACCACCCTCGTCGTCATCAGCTGTGCCAGACTCCTTCTTCACCACGATTCCACTCTCTTCCTGGTCCCTGATCGCCTCGTCAACGTCAATGTCCTGCAGAAACACACCGACCTTGGCTTCGGCAATGTTTGTCTTGTTCACAATCTCGCGGAGCACGACCTCGTCGGCGCGGAACGAGAAGATGTTCTGGAGGCCGAATAGCTCCCCCTTGCGCTCCTTGTCCTGCTGGACTCCTTTGAAGTATCGGCGCTCGGTGGAGGCGTTGTAGCCGATGTTGGCCTGCTGCTGCTTGTAGATCTGGCGCGCGTACACAATCTCCTCGATGGTGCCCGCCGATATCAGCCGAAACACGTCCACGTCGCGGGACTGGCCGATGCGGTAGGCCCGGTCCTGTGCCTGCAGGTCGTACGCTGGGTTCCAGTGGGGATCAAAGATGACGACCTTGTTGGCCGATGTGATGTTAAGGCCCACGCCGCCGGCCTTGGTCGAGATGAGGAAGACAAATGCGTTGGGGTCCGAGTTGAAGTCGTCCACGGCTTGTTGCCGCTCCTCGTACCCGAGCGACCCGTCCAGGTACGAAACGCTATAGGCAGTCCTGTTGAAGAGACTGCGCAGGATTTTCAGCAGGCGGACGCTATGGGAGAATACCAAGACCTTGTCTCCGTTGTGGTGCCAGAACCCCAAGAGCTTATTGAGAACCTTCCACTTGCCGCAGAATTCTGGATTTGATAGTGTCATAGGTGAGTCGCGCGTCCTGTAGAGCTCATCGCAGCGGTCAGGCAGACAAGTCCGGAGGGTGTCCATGGCATTCTCCAGCTTGGTCCCCTGCTCGCCTGACGGCGGGATCAGCAGCGTGAGGTGGCTCGCCAGCTTCTGGAGCGTTATTATGGAAGGAAAGACGAGGGAGTACCAGGTTCTGCCGTCGTCGAGACCGACGTGACAGCAGCGACCATTCGTCTTTCCTGAGCCGCACGAGCAGGGATCGTTGGCCCCCTGGATGAGGACGACCTGTTCACTCTTGATGAAGTTGCTGTATGCCTGCTTCTGGAGGTCCGTCATGGGGCAGAAGACGACCTTGTCGGTCTTCTTGGGCAGCTGGTCGGCGATCAGCGACTTCATACGACGGAGGAAGTAGTCAGGAAGCAGGTTGTGCACAAGCCTCTTGGCTGTCTTCCTGGCCACGCTCAGCTCGTGTATGGTTGCGTTGTGCGATTGGCCCAGGGCCAAGGGCCTACAGATGGTTGTCCTCCATTCCGCAAAGGTGCCGAATCGGCCAGGGTTGGTCCAGTTCAGCAGCGTCCAGAGCTCTTCGTACCTGTTCTGGATTGCGGTACCCGTCAGGCCGATGCGGCACAAGGCATTAATGGCGTTCATGGCCTTGGTCGTCGAAGATCTCCGGTCCTTGAGGCTGTGACACTCGTCGGCCACCACAGCATCCCACTCGACCATGTTGACATATTCTTGATGTCTCGTGTAAGTCTGGTACGTGGTCAACATGATCTCCAAAAAGCCAGACTTGGCCGTCTGCAGAATGTCGTCCTTTTCCTTGCCATGATAGACGCTAATATTCCACCAGCCCCAGCGGCTCAGCTCCTGTTTCCAGTTTTCGAGCAGAGATCCAGGGCACACGATCAGCACCTTTGGGTACCAACGGCCGACCGCTCGCATCTTGCGGAGGCGCCTCTTGTCGCGTACGTCGCCCGTCTTGCCAAACGCGGCGGCAAGGAAGGCGGCGACCTGCACCGTCTTCCCCAAGCCCATGTCATCGCCCAGCATGCCTCCCAACTGGTACACAAACATCTGGTGTAGGTACTTGGCTCCCGTGACCTGGTAGTCTCGCAGATATCGTGCGATAGAAGCGGGAATGATGCCCGCCGAGTACTCCATCTGCACGTCCTCGTTTGCCCTGGACGGCTTGACGCTGTCGCCGAACCATGGCCGCTTCTCTGTGCTCGAAGCGTCAAGGTCGTCATCGCTAAATGTGATGTCGGTGTAGTCGGGCGGAAGACGGAGGCCAGCCTCGCGCAACCTCAACCGGCCCTGGTCGAACTTCCTCTTGCGTTCACAGAGATAATCCGGCACGTTGGAATGTTGATAGTCTTCTGGCTCGCTGGCCTCTCCGACCTCGTTAATGCCGCGGGTCAGCGAGTTGGGATTGTGCTGCTTGCTGCTCTGCTTGCTGCTGCCTTCGCCGCCGCCGCCTCTTGCTCCGGCCTTTGGTCTACCCCTGCGGCGCTTTTTCCCGAGCGCTTTGAGTCGCTCTTTCTCTTTTTCCCTTTCCTCGTCCGAGTCGGGCGGCCAGACTATCTCCTCGACAATGGGCGGTGCATTATCGTGCTTTCGCTTACCGAGCAAGGTCGAGGAAGCGGCGGGCGGGGCAGCGGCCGTGCTTGAACTGACGGCCGGCGTTGGATCGCCTTCTTGATCCGACCCAGAGTCGTCACTGACCAGGTTAACGGTCAGAGGCATACTGCACTGGCTTTTTGAAGATCATCCTCTTTCGAGTAACGCGTCGGACTAAGATCGGTTGGTGGCGGAATGATGCGATCGATTTCGGCAGCGAAACGAAAGCACGTGATCACGCGGCAGCTCCACCTGTGCTGATGTCGGAGATTCCTTTTGCGCTGCGGCGAGGTTTGCGGTTTGCGCCTCCAATTGTAGAGCCTTAGCCACCCCACATCGCAGTTCGTCCTCCGCCACTCCAAAACACAGCAGCATCCCGCTTTGCCAAACGACACTCCAGTCCTACATACCAAAAGGAATATAAAAAAACATACCTAATTCGCTCCTCTGCGCCGCGCGCCCACCCGCCAAGATGGGGAAAGCCGAAGTCGGGTCGACCAAGCACCTCAGCAACCAGATGAAGGCCAAAGGCCTCCAGAGGTTGCGATGGTACTGCCAGCCCTGCGAGCGCCAGATGCGGGACGACAACGCCTTCAAGCAGCACTGCATGAGCGAGTCGCACGTGCGGCAGATGCTCGTGGTGGGCGAGGACCCCAAGAAGTTCCTGCGCGAGTACAGCGACCAGTTCCTGCGCGACTTTGTCAGCCTGCTCAAGACGGGCCACCGCGACAAGCAGGTCCAGATCAACCACTTCTACCAGGAGTACATTGCCAACAAGGCCCACGTCCACATGAACAGCACCCAGTGGAGCTCCCTGACCGAGTTCGCCAAGCACCTCGGCCGCGAGGGCATCTGCCGCGTCGAGGAGAACGACAAGGGCATCCACATCGCCTGGATCGACGACTCGCCCGAGGCGCTGAAGCGGCAGGAGGCCCTGCGCCGGAAGGAGGCACAGGACAGGGGTGACGAGGAGTGGGAGCAGCGCATGCTCAAGGCCCAGATCAAGCGCGCGCAAAAGGACGCCGCGACCCGCACCGGCGCCAAAGAGGGGGACGAGGAGGAGGACAAAGATGAGGGCCGCCTACTGAGGGAGGGGGATGTAAAAATCAAGCTGTCGATAGGCGCAGTCAAGCCAGGGGCGGCGGCAGCATCAAAGGACAAGCCACCTACAAATCAACCCCCAGCCGGCACTAGCAACAGGGACGCGAATACGGAGACCAGCGAGCCAGCCGCTGCGGCTGCCCCCACCCCGACAGACGGAACTGCTACCGCCGCGTCGGCACCCGATCAGGACGGCGGTGCTGCCAACGCCAAGCCGGTGACGCTCAAGCTTGGGATACAGCCGCAAAAGAAGAACGTCTTTGCAGCAGCCAAAAAGAATGCGCTGGGTGGGGGCGCCAAAAAGATGAAGATTGCGGAGCCTAAGAAAATGAGCGAGGCCGAGAGGATAATGCGGCAGGAGATGGAGCGCAAGCGGCCCATGGATTCTTCCAAGTTGGGGTCTTCTAACAAGAGGCCACGGTTTTAGAGGGACGGGTCGTACACGGAGTGAGCGGTGGCGTTTGGTGTCATTTGGGTCAAATACCATTTTGTTGTATATGGATTACCGTTTTTCTGCTGTTCGGATCCAGGGTATGCAGCTTAGCATCGTTTGCGTGGTCGTCATCGTGCCTGAAATAGTGATTGATTCGCTAAGATTTGTCAAAAGAACATGCGCCGTTTAGAACCTTTGACGCCCTGACGGTTGCCCCAATAATTAAACTCCTTTTAATAGCAACTTGATATCGATGTGTCCCCCTCGACCGCCAGCTCAAACATCTGCCTCGGTGGCACTGCCATCTCGTCTGCAGAATGTGCGACAGCACGCGTTAGCAAGGTAGCTCTCCCATTGGCGAGGGGGAGTAGGGGAGGAAAACGCACGGGATGTACTGCATGCCGGTCTCGTCCTCGATGGCGGCGCGTATGTCATCGGGCAGCTGGCCCGAGACCTTGATGGCGTAGACGCCCTTGACGTAGCCGTCGAGGCGCTGCCACTTTGCGACCCACGACTTGGACGGGTCCGCGAGCGTGATGAGGCCCTCGAACACCTGCGACGTGCAGCTCTCGATCTGCTCGGGCGAGTTTTGGAGCCGCAGGAAGTCCTCGCAATTTGGGCAGCCCTCGTCGCGGAAGCGCTGTGAGAGAGAGAGCTCGCGCCGGTCAGCAGGCTGCGCGCGTGGTGGTGATGTGGGCGACAACGCTGGATAACGGCAAGACACGTACCGTCAGCGTCATGACGATGGAGCAGACCATGCATGCGCGCAGGTAGCGCTGCTGGCCCGGGGTGACAAAGTTCTCCGACATTCTGGTGTTCGGGGGGATGCTCCGATTCGCGGCTGGTGATACCCTTGTCGTCGATTTCGTGCTGTCGGCGGAGGAAACGCGCAACGGAGGCGGGACGTGGGCCCGTCTGATGATTGGGTTGGGGCAGGTATCGAAGATGTCGTGGTGTAGCTTTTCTGGGTTCCTCCCGCTTCGGTTGTGCGGTGCGAAGACGGGTCGCAAAGCTCAAGTATTGTTGGCTTTGCTATTGAGGCTGATGGCTGCATGCGGCGGCGGCGGCAGCTGCCGCGTCGCGCAGACTGCAGGCTCGGAGATCTTATCGATAATCAGACCCTTGTACTTGGGATCCACACCGTTCCGCTCGCCGCGGGCGGACGGGCCTTGACGGAACCTAAAAACGGACATTTTTAGTGCTTGATGCGACGGCTGCCAAGTGAGCGCAACAACGAGCGCAACAACAACTTGCAAAGTCTTTCAAGACCTTTTGACAGACTGATTCTGGACTATTGACGACCAGGGTCTTCTCTGGGTTAGAAAATTGGCTCTCTCCAGCCACCCGAAGGAGCCAAAAACAACCAAGACCAAAAATGGCCTCAACCCAAACCCCAGCAGCGGCCGACACGTCCGTGTGCTCGGTGGCAAGCGCCAAGAAGGCCCCCCAGAGGTCGCACGAGGTCTTCGCCTGCACCGTCCGGCGCCCGCCGTACGCCTACGCGCAGCTGCGGCTCGACAACCCCTCGTCGCCCGCCGGCGCCGCGATCCCGCTGGACCTCGTGCTGGCGCGCTCCTACTGCGCCTCGGCCCTGCAGCAGTTCCTGGGCGTCACGGGCGCCGCCGTCTCGGTCGACGTGCTCAGGGTCGACGGCGAGGCCGGCGAGTTCTGGGTCCGCGTGCCGCAGCCCGACCTCGGCCGCTTCTCCGCCGCCGTCACGGCCTGGCCCGGGGCCTCGCATTTCGGCTCCACCACCGTCCTTCGGATCCTGGCCTGCGGCGACTGGCTTGGCAGTTTACTGGGCAGGTCAGAGCAGCAGTCACTCTGGACCTCTTAAGCCCCTGCGGCAGGGCGGCGTCACGTCAAATTATTGGTCACAAAGAAGTTATTCCAGCTGACTTCTTAATCATCCGAGGATGCTGCACTACAAACGCTTCCCAACCCCAGCTCCCGAGCCTCCGAGCAGCCAATGGCCCTCGAGCGCCACCAATAGCTAGGTAGGCTGCTCCGCCCAATCTGAAGCTTGGCCGCCAGATTAGTCTATATGCGAGCGATATATCCATCCCATCAACAAACTGCGCCATTTCCATCCTACCCCTACCCCTCTCACATTAACGAGGACATGAGCGAGTTCTGGGCATAAGCCTGGGAAAAGGAGACAACGTGTCAGCTCGGGCCGTGTGGACTCCGGTAGGGATGTATATCACGCTCGACTCACCATGGGCCTGATGTTCGGATGCGGGACTGCATCGAACTTGTGGAACTGGAGCTTGTAATCCGAGCCAATGTTGATGTACGCTCCCCTGTTCTCCGTCATGTCGCAGTACTTGGGTGCCGAAAATACTAATGATAATGATAATGTTAGAGATTTCGAGTCCGCTAGCACCCTGCCCGCCTTGTCTCTCTGCTTTTGCAGTTGGGGGAATGTTGCCGAAGTGACGAGGTTGGGGACTTACCAGTGATGCACTTTCCGTTGTGCTCCTCCTCATAGCCCTCCATGCGAACCTCGTGGCTTCGGATGATGGCCTCCAGGCCGTTCTTTTCACAGAACCTCGCTGTGACGTCGGGTCCGAACTGCATCCCAACACCACGCTTGCTCGGGCCCCTGCCAGGCTCCGTTTGCGGGTCGGTCCACAACATTTCCATCATCAGACCAGCCTGGCCCGGCTGTCGCTGCTTGTGCCGGTCGAGTTTACGGATGTCGTCCAGGGTGATGTTGTCGTCCGAGAAGAGACCACCGTGGAGCACGAAGTACTTCTTTCCAATCAAGGTGGCCAGCGGCAGAGCAGAGAAGCTTTCAGAGAAGAGCTTGAATGTCCTGTGGTGCTCCACGAGTTAGCACTGGACCACGTACCTCTCACTAGAGTATGCGACTTGGCTAGGGGGACTCACCTCTCGTTGTACTTGGCCTTGCACTCTCCCTCGAAGCCGTAAGCGCGGTTCATGTCGTCCGTCTCGTGGTTGCCCCTGTTTAGGAAGAAAGCGTTCGGGCGCAGCCACTTGTTCGCGTACAGCAAAAGCGCGATCTCAGTCGACCACGAGCCCCTGTCGACAAAGTCGCCATTGAACAGGTACCAGTGCTTATCCGAAGGCACGCCGTTGAGGCGGAAAAGCTCCATGAGATCAAAGTATTGGCCTGTGGGTTTGATGGACATTAGCTTGTGCTCACGCTCACATCTCCTAGCAAGGGTATACCAGGCACACAAGCCCAAGATGCTTTTGAACTCACCATGTGTGTCGCCGCAGACCGTCAGAGTAACGTCGTCGGGAACCTCAACCTCGACCATGGTTGGCTCGGCGTGCACGAGCTTCCGGACGGCTATGACGATCTGGTAGACATATTTCTTGTGGATCTTCTTGCCGTTCTTGAAGCGCTCCGTCATGTCGTCGATAAACTCCTGGGTCATGGTGTCGCCGAGCTTGACGCCGTCATAGTCGGGCTCGACCGCTATTGAGTCGACGTCCAGACCCTCTGCGGCTGACGGCTCGTCGCCGACCTCGATGGCGGCATAAAAGTCGAGCTGGCGCACGACCTTCTGGCTCTCAACAAGCTTGAGCTTGGCATCTTTGTTGCCCGGCTCGATCTTGACGCATGACTTGAAGTCCTTGACGGCGTCTCGAGGGCGCAGTATAGCCGTGTACGCAACGGCACGGCGGTAGTAAGCCTGCGGCAAAAGCAGTCCCAGTCAGCCTCGGCTCCAGGTAGCGCGCCTCACCACAACCCTCTCCAGCCGGCCCTGGTCGCATCGGATGGTTGGCGCACCTTCACAAAGGCTGGGTTCAGCTCGATAGCCTTGGTCGCATCGGCGATGGCGTAGCCGTATGCTTCGGACTTGAGATATGCCTGCGTTCAACCAAGGAGAGTTAGTCACGCGAGCGCACAGGTACGCGAAGCTCGCTCCATGGTTGCGCGCCAAAGCGGATGCGCACCTGTGCCCTGTTGGAATAATATGTTGGCTCGTCGGGGTTGAGCTCGATGGCCTTGGTGTAAAGCTCGGCAGCCTTGAGCCAGTCGTGGGCGGCAAAGGCCTTGTTGCCGTCGTTCTTGAGGGCCGTCGCCTTCTCCTTCTGCTCGGGCGTTGCCATTTTCGGCGCGGCAACCAATCCTGTTGGCTAGCGGGGCTTCGCTGTCTGGCTATGCTAGGAGGGGTGGCGTTAGAGTGTCGAGCAAGTGTCGAGCAAGTGCCGGGTCTGCGGCTGAGCAAGTGTTATAAAAGAGCCAAGGTAAGATAGCGAGGGGATTCTTTGGTAGGCTGCAAGTTGCGAGGTGTTGCCCGACGAAGCGGGTTCTTTTGGATTTTCTATTTTCTTCTTTCCCGGGCTCACTTTGTAGAGCCCGTTTTGCGCTTTTTGCGGGGGTGTTCATGTTAGCCATTATCAACAACGATGACGGTTGTCGGGACCCACAAAGGGTTTAGCTTAAACGGTGAGGTGGGCCATTATCTTTTGCCATTGGTGCAGGTGATTATAGAATCGCGGAGAACTTGCGGGTGACGCGACCACTCACTGGGAAATCAGATACCCGAAGGTGGGGGTCAAGCTAACGATCGACTTTGTCAGAGGTCATTAAAAGGCACCAAGATGCGGCATGCACCAAAGAGCCTTTTAGATGGTGATAGACAGCAAGAGCCCAGCAATCATCCTACGTCTTGCAGCATGTGAATATCGCAAATCTAGACTTGTTCCGTTCTCGGCGACCACTGATTTGGTGGTAGCGACTCTGGATCTCCCAGGTCGCCTGCTGGTGGATCAACCACACAGGCCAGACCCAAGCTGTGGCGTGAAGTGGGGCGATCCATCATTTCCTTGGTCGCGCGCAGGCGAATGACTTTGCAGGCCGGCAACTGTAACCAGCCGCCGATTGAGGAGCGCGAATCGCCTTCATTCATCCGCCATCTCACGCCGGCTCCCTACATTCGCACGATCCCCAGCTACTGGGGATTTACGACTCCGAAAAGAACCTGCGTACAATCCCGATGGAGTCGCAGCCCTCATCGATGGCCGTCACCCGCAAGAGGGCTGGCAACATGGCACTGATGCCACCGCCCCCTCCCACCAAGCGCATCAAGCGGCCTAGGAATGTGCTCGACGAAGACACGTACACCGAGGCGCTTTCCAAGATCATCGCGCGCGACTTCTTCCCCGGCCTCCTAGAGAGCGAAACCCAGCAAGAGTATCTCGATGCGCTCGCGTCCAAGGACGAGGAGTGGATATCCATCGCCACCCGGCGCCTCAAGCACATCATGACCCCCGGCCGGAGGACCATGCCGTCTAGCATGCCGCAGACGCCGAAAGATTACAGAGGCGAAACACCAGCATCAACAGTACCGCCGACGCCGTCCACGGCGATAACGCAGGACAAGCCAGTGGTCGACGTCAGCCTCAGCCTTGCGGCTTTCCAGGCAAGATATACGAGCGAAGACAACGAGAGTTTCTACAAGCTCCTCGACAGACAGAACCAAACAAAAGCGCAAAAGTACGCATGGCTCTGGACCGGGAACAAGCTGCCGTCCAAGATGCAGCTCAAGCAGCGGGAGATAGAGGCACGCATCGGCCAGACGAGGAGCCTGGAGGATGATGGCTACAAGAAGACGCAGCTTGCCATCAAGGACAAGGACGACCGGCCAGCAGCGCCGGACTCGTGGAAGTGGAAGCCGAAGAATGATCTCATGTTTAAACCCGAAGGGTTGGCAGATGGCGTCGAGACAATAGCCGAGAGGGCCGAGGCCGAGTCCAGAGCGCCCCCGAGGGCCATTGTTTACGCCAACACCAAAGCGCCGAATCCCGAGATTGTCCTATCGCATGACCCCTCTCGTCCGCCTTCACCAACCCTGTCTGCCGTCCGGGACGCTATTGCGGGACGGCCGAGGCCTGCGGACCAGGACTCGGCCGTCGCGTCCGGGGGCGAGACTCCACGAGTCAACGGCTACGCTTTTGTGGGCGACGAGGACGACGAGCCGGAAAGGGCGCCTACGGACTCGATCCTCAGTCTTGGGGCCGAGGACAAGGGCCCAAACCCCTTCCGGCTCCAGGAGCGGAGGAAGCGCGAAGATTTACACCATCGCATGGTCGATCGCATTGCCGAGTCTCGGCGCACGGCGTCTCGAATAGGAATGGTGGGCAAGGAGGTGAAGACGCCAGGGCCCAAGTTCCCAAACAGCCCGAGAACAACGGCGCTCACGCCGGCGGCGCAGAGACTATGGAGCAATCTGGGGAGCTCTGGGAGGAGTCGATCGACGACGCCATTCGATGGAAAAGTAAAAGTTACACCGAGAACAAAGGCGGCACTTCTGAAGAGAGCAGCGCGCTAAGGGCGTGTCAATATAGTTGAGTACGGAAGGAGGGGCGCAGGCCGTCGGAAAGTATGATACCCATCAAGCGAGAGAATTATAGCATAAAGACAGCGGAGGAGCTGTGAAAGCTGGAGGCCGTATCCAGAATACAATCACCAAGCCACGAGTACGTGAATTTGACCATCAGGGTACGTACCACGTGCCAATCCAACAAACAGAAGGGCCATCTGGTGGGGTTGGATCCCGGGAATCTGGGTTGGATGGCGGGAACCAAAGAAGCTTGGCGCTGCTGGCATCCCTGTCACCATGACACCATAAAAATTTCCATGCGACAACCCAACTGCACAGCTTCTGCCCGCAGCTTCCGGTGCCAGCCCGAGCTTTGCGCAGCTCGCCCGGCGATATCATCCCCAGTAAAATGAGCTCGACGCACCGCCGGCAGACCACAGCGCCGCGATGAGGTTCGCCGACATGGTCATCGACCTGGCCTCGGTCCTGAGCGCCTCTCGGTCGGTGGCGTCCAAGCATGTTGCGTTGCGGCGTTTGCAGATGGACCGTTACAGCAAGACGTCGAGCATACTAAGGGGAGGCCCGCAACCGCGGCCACGGCAGCAGCATAAAACTGGTGATAATCCTCCTGACTCCGGGAGTCACGATGGCGACACAACGACCGGGGTAGAGCCAATTCCCGAACGGACCGCCGAACCCCTCGATGCGGCGACACCGACGTCTAGCCCCGGAGAGCCAGATGTGGCAAGGCCAATTGGGGGCGAAACGATTACCAGAGAGACCGAGCTTGCGGAAACGCCTCGAGGAACAACTCCCCGGGTCATCATCGCAGACGCCGGGCCAGGCTCGGCGCTACACGAACTGCGGGGCAGGTTACGGGATCTCGGAGCCGACGCCAAGGTCGCTGATAAGGTGCAGAGCCCAGTGCTGAGGGACATACTAGGCGAATCGCCCGTGTCGCAGGATGTGGGTGCAGGTTCCGCAAGGGTGGCCGCTAAAGAGGAGGCAGAGGAGGTCATGGGAGAAAGGGTGCCCGAGGGTGTGGACATCAACATCTTTAGAACTCGTCGTGGGTCGAGGATATTGCAGTCTCTAAAGTCACGAACCGAGAGACAAGTTGAAAAGAGCGTCGCCGAACAAGACACTACTTCAAAAACACGAGACCTCGAGTCAAGGAAGGCCAGGACCCAGACAGACGCATCGACACATGTGGCAAAGACTACCGCCGATTCTACAGGTGAGGTTGCGTCGATTGAGACCGTCGGGGCTGGCGAGGCCGTGGCGTTTGAACCGGTGGAAATCCCCCAGACCCAGCCACTAGCCCCCGAGGTCGTCTCACCTGCGGTCTCGATCCCAGACCCTCAAGCAGTGGTGGCAGCTGCACCCGCAGCCCCTGCCTACCAGCTCAGGGAGTCCAAGGTCCCCGCCTCGCGGCTCAGCCGGTTATGGAACTACGGCGGCCTCGCGGCGGGCATGCTCGGCGGGGCGCTGACCGAGAGCATCAGCCGCGGCTTCGGCGGCGGCAGCGGCGAGGGCTCGGCCATGCTCAGCCCGGCCAACATGGAGCGGCTCGTGGCCAAGCTGTCGCGCATGCGCGGGGCCGCGCTCAAGATGGGCCAGGTCATGAGCTTCCAGGACGCAAAGATGCTGCCGGGCCCGATCCGCGAGGTGCTACAGCGGGTGCAGGACCGCGCCGACTACATGCCGGCCTGGCAGCGCGACCGCGTTCTCGCCGCGGACCTGGGCGGCGAGTGGCGGGACCTGTTTCGCGAGTTTGAGGAGACACCCATCGCAGCCGCGTCCATCGGCCAGGTCCACCAGGCCACGCTCAGGTCGTCGGGCAGGCGCGTGGCCGTCAAGGTCCAGTTCCCCGGCGTGGCCGACTCGATCAACTCGGACCTGGACAACCTCGCTGTGCTGCTCAACGCCGCAAGCCTGCTGCCAAAGGGCCTCTACCTGGACAAGACCATCGCGAACGCCCGCACCGAGCTCGCGTGGGAGTGCGACTACGAGCGCGAGGCCGAGTGCGCGCGCCGGTACCGCGACCTGCTGGCGGCGGGCGGCGGCGAGGACGCGCTCATCTTTGCCGTGCCCGAGGTGTTCCCCGAGGCCTCGGGCCGGCACGTGCTGACCATGGAGTTCATGGGCGGCGTCGGCGTCACCCGGGCCGTCGGGTCGCTGACAGCGGAGCAGCGCGACTGGATCGGCACGCAGATCCTGCGCCTGTGCCTGCGCGAGATCACCGAGTTCCGCTTCATGCAGACGGACCCCAACTGGACAAACTTCCTGTACAACGCCGGCACGGGCCGCCTCGAGCTGCTCGACTTTGGCGCCTCACGCGAGTACCCGGCCCGCTTCGTCTCCCTCTACGTCCGGCTCCTCCTGGCCGCGTCGCGCGCCGACGGGCCCGCCGTCAAGGACCTGTCCGAGCGGCTCGGCTACCTAACGGGCCACGAGAGCAAGGCCATGCTCGAGGCGCACACGCGGTCGGTGCTGACGCTGGCCGAGCCCTTCCTCGAGTCGGCGCCCGACGTCTACGACTTTAGCGACCAGACCATCACGGAGCGCGTCAAGGGCCTCATCCCCGTCATGGTCCGCGAGCGCCTCGCCCCGCCGCCCGAGGAGACGTACAGCCTGCACCGCAAGCTGAGCGGCGCCTTTTTGCTGTGCGCCCGCCTCGGCAGCCGCGTGAGGTGCCGCGACATGTTTGAGCGGAGCGTCGAGAGGTCAGGCGTCCTGGCGGATCCAGAGGAGCAGGCTGCCGCCGCTGGCGAGGGGGCGAGCTCTGGCTAGAGCGGGTGTGGGAGCACCGGTCCATGTATATATAACACGAGTCTTTTTTGGTTGCGACTATGTAAATGTAAACAGCCATGATATTATCGCTAGACAGGAACACAACTCTTAGATGGTTGATAGAAGCCGAATTTCAATCAAGCGCGCTTTGTTATTTGCCAATGCGTTGTCTGTACCACGCTTTGCACGAAAAAAGAAACGCCAGAGAAGTGCAATGGCAAGTTTGATCCTGTCGCCTTCCTCCTCAGTTCTCTGTCGCCCCCCTCCTGGCAAACGGGAGCATCTTCTTCTCCTTGCCCGCCACCTTCTTCCGCTTGCGCTCGATGGCCTTGTCGACCTGGCCCTTTGACATGCCGGCGTACTGGTCCATGAGCAGCATCTTCTTCTGCTCGGACCGCTTGAGGTAGAAGGGCTTCTTGCCCTGCCTCACGAGCTCCTTCTCCTTCTTCCGGTGCTCCGCCAGCAGCTCCTCCTGCCTGTCCTTGCGCTCGCGCGCCCGGTTCTGGTTCTCCATGGCCATGATGTTGCGCTTGAGCTCCTCTCGCTCCTCGGGCGACAGCTGCGACGTCTTGTCGCCGCCCCGCTTCCGCTTCTTCCTGCCCGCGGCGGACGACGCCGCCCTGTTGCTGGCCGCGAGTGTCTCGCGCATCTGCCGCAGCTCGGCGTCGCGGTACTCGTCCAGGAAGGCGTAGTTGCGCCGCCGCCGCGCCGCGTCCGCCGCCGTCTCCTCCTCCCCCTCCTCGGCGCCGGGGTGTTCGAAGCGCGGGTCGCGCGCCTTGGGCCGCGCGTTGGGCAGGCGCGTCACCACCTCGCGGTAGCGCGACACGCGCCGCTTGGACGACACCTCCTCGGGCGCGCTCTTGCTCTTCTTCTTCTTGGGCTTGGGGGCCGCACCCGCCGCCGCGGACTTGTCGGCGGCGCCGCGCCCGCCGCTCTCCCGGCCAGTCTTGGCCAGCTCGTCGCCCGAGCCGGCGGAGCCGTCCGAGCCTTCCGAGTCCGACTCGGAGTCGTCGCCGGTCTGAAGGCGATGACGACGGCCCTGGCCAGCAGCGGGAGATGCTCCGGGCCTGCGTTTTGCTGGCTTTGGGACGGAGTCTTGGGCCTTTGCTAGAGCTCCAAATGATATGCTGGAGGCGTCCACCTCGGGTTCTTCAGAGCTCTCATAATCCTCTGATTGGCCCTCAGACTGTTTGGGGAAATGTTCAGTTATTGTGTCTCTGCAAATCCGTCCGACTTGACTGTGGGGGATTTCCTACTTGGTCCTCTGCATCTTCCTCGTCCTCTCCGCTCCCATCTCGCTCATCAACCTCACTTCCGTTTGAGACGCCGTCCCATCCCTCGTCGTCAGATTCAGGCACATCCTTTCGCACCTTGACACGGCGATAGATGTCGATGGGGGCTTTTCTTTTGCGAGAATCCATGGCGGGTTTGTACGAATTTTATTGAGAAAACAAGGATGTGATCAATGATACGTCGTATAGAAAGCCGTCAATCTGAATTGAGACTCTGGAGTGTGCCGCTAGTAATCGAGTCGTCGTGTGAATTTTTTTTGTTGTTCTTTGGAGTGGTGGGGCCCAAGCTTCACTTTCAACACCAGCTCCAAAATTTCACCTCTGAACTGCCACCTCACAGGCAAAAAGCCCTGTCTACCATTGGAGACTATCACATACCTAGCCCAACTTCAGCTACAAGTCTTGACTGCCCTGCAACTGCTCAGACCGGTTTAAACACAGAAACACATCCAACAACTTTTACGGGCCAATAACCTCGAGCACAGTTCATCCGCCGCACGTTTGGGTTTCAAGGCCTGTGAGGGTCGGGCTCGCCTGGGTTCGCTTGGTCGCCGTTTAGCCTCGCATTTCTCACAGTTGAACCTACCCAATCAGTCACAACGGCCGCTCGTCAAACGCCTCGCTCGGTATTTCATTCTAGTCCAATCCGAAAACTGGGCTGTTGTTCCTTCTGTTTCTTTTTTTTTATTCTCTCGTAACCTCATCTGCCTTCTCGACTGCCCTCGTTTGCTGGCCACGCGCTGAACGGGCTTTATGAGATCCCCGCGCACAACCACCAAACTCCCCGTGCTTTTCAGGCGGTTGGCCCTAGCCGGCGGTTGGTCCAATAGTTTCCATCCAGGCTACCACATCGCACGGCGCGTTGGGGTGGCCCAGCATCCCGTCTTGGCCCTGCAGCAGCAAAGCTGCTCGGCCTCCTCAGTCACATCGTTGGCTGCTGGCACAGGCGTGGAGAGCTCAACCTTCAAGCTCGGCTCACATTCTACCTATTGTCCGATCGAGGCTACGGCGCCCCAACAAGGCAATATGGCGGACACCAAGCCGCGGCGTCGAAATCGCAAGAAGGCCGGACGTAACTCACGTGGCGCCGCCAGCGCGGGCGAGACCGATGTTGGAGCGCCGTCATCTTCTCAGCCTGCCCTTGATCCCGATGCGCCTCAGGCGGCCGCCGTATCAGAACACCAGGAAGGCGCGAACCACCTCACACTGTCGCCAGCATCCTCGGACCTCATCGGCCGGCTGGCCCAGATGATCCACGCTAACGGTGTGGGCACTGGCGGCGCGCCAGCGCCCACGTGGGCGCCTCCAGGCCAGCCGGCCCCGATGTTCCAGCAGGCCCTGCCGCCTTTCCACGGAGCATCGGGCTGGACCACGATAAACCACCCTGCGCCGCCAACTTGGACCACCATCAACCCGCAGGCGCCACCGTGGATGCCCACAAACCAGCCACCGCCTCCGTTTGCGGTGCCGACCTCACCTCCACCCGTCGTCGGCTCCCCACTCGAGGACTACATCCGCCAGAGCCTCCGCGCCAACCCCACCAGCAGCCCACTCAACCAGCAGCCGACACAGCACTACTCGACGCAGACGACCGCAGGTGCCCCTCGCTCCCCGCGCCTCGACGAGCCGGCGCGGCCCGACGATCCGGCCCTCAACGCTTCCCCCGCCGCCGCCGCCACCACGAAGGGCAACAAGTCCAAGTCCCTCCGCAAGTCCGCGTCCAAGGCCTCCCTGAAGGATCACAAGGGGGGCAGGTCGTCCGAGGAGCAGCGCGACCCCATCGTGCCGCCCTCGCCCGAGTCGGGCGGCGTCCCGGAGCCGGCGCCGGCCTACCTGCTCCGCGCGTCCTTCACCACCAACCGCGTGGACGCGCCGCGGCCGCTGCTCGTGGTGCTCGACCTCAACGGCACCCTGCTCTTCCGCCCGCGGCGGCGCGAGCCCAAGCACTTCATCGCGCGCCCGCACGCCCGCACGTTCCTCGAGTACATCGCCACCCGCTTCTGGGTCGCCGTCTGGTCCTCAGCCCGCCCCGGCAACGTCGGCTCCATGATCGACAGCCTCCTGCCCCGAGACGGGCCCGCCCGCGACCGCCTCGTCGCCGTCTGGTCCCGCGACGACCTGGGCCTTTCCAGGGACGACTACGGCCGCCGCGTGCAGGTGTACAAGCGCCTGTCGCGCCTCTGGGCCGACGCCCGCGTCGCCCGCTCCCACCCGGACTTCGCCGCCACGGGCGCCTGCTGGGGCCAGGGCGACACCGTCCTCGTCGACGACTCGGTCGAGAAGGCCCGGAGCGAGCCCCACAACCTCGTCTGCGTCCCCGAGTGGGCCGGCGACGCCCACGAGGCGCCAGAGGTCCTGCCCCGGGTCCACGACTACCTCAACGAGCTGTGCTACCAGAGCGACGTCAGCACCTACATCCGCGCCAACCCCTTCCGCATCGAGTGATGGTGGGGTGCGTGCGTGCGTAGTGCCGTATAGGGCGGGTTTGTGGCGCTTTGAGACGCCCTCTTCTTCCATCTCATCCTGTCCGTGTCCTCCATTGCGGACTTTTTTATAATCCCAGTCTTTATTCACTTTACCAGTGCACGCTTGTTTCGGCCCAAATGTGATTACCCATGACCCGAGTCTATTCTGGGTCGCGAAAGTGTGACAACATGTGTACTCCGGGCGGCAAAGTCTCAACGAGAAGGGAAACGCCCTCTCTTGTTGGGCATCGGAATCGCCGCCCTGGATGATGACGCTTGGTCCGAGAAGGGCGTGCCAAATTTGTGTAGTCTGCTGGGTTCCTTTACCCCCTCGCGTTGCATATTGTAGCATGGACTGGAGGGTGTAGCAACTTTCGTGTGTGTAAATGGCAGTGTCATCAACTTGACGGGCTGGGCTGCGAATCAAGGACACCCGCTACAGAATCAAGTCAAGAACCATCTCGCAGTGCTTGATTGCCAAATGGTATTCATCTCAACGGAGAAAGTTACGCTAGCTAACATGCTCCATACGATGGCCAATGATGCGTGCTGTGTGCCATACATGAAGTGACCACAGGGTCATATCTCCTCCATCTCCCATTGCTCCTCCCCATCCGTCCCAGTCGTAACATCATTTACTCCCACCCTGGCTTCCATTCCATCATGCCTATCACCGTACCCAACCAACCATTCCTTCCGTCCCTACCATTATTCCCAGCCAAACAAAGTGAACATCACCCTATACCCTTTTTCCCCATTCATTGTGATTTTTTGCTTTTTTTTTTTGTTGTGTTCACGAGCGCGGTCTTTACTTGAAGACCTTGCCGTCGTAGTGGGGGTACTCCTTGCCGTCACGGACGACGGTGCGCTCCCACTCCCACTCGTCACGGACGTACTGCTTGTCCTCCTCCTTGGTGGGGTCAAGCTTGGTGAAGGTGTACGACTCCCAGTCGGGGGCAACGTCGAAGACCTGGACATGGTCCTGGCCGCGGATGACGAAAGCGCCCTGGATGAAAGAGCCCTTGCCATCGCCGTAAACCGAAGCGCTGCCCATGAGGAACTTACGCGAGGCCTCGAGACGCTGCTCGAAACCGCCAATCAGGTTGCATGACATGAAGGGGATGCCGAGCTCCTCGTTGTACTTGTACTCAACCTTCCAGAGCGAGTACTCCTCGAAGTTGATGTTCTTCCAGAACCACTCCATGGCGGCCGGGACGGGGTTGTTAGAGTACTGGCGCTTCCACTCGTCGATGGGGACCGAGGCCTTGGGCAGAAGGTCGCAGGGGTGCTTGGCCTTGGGCTTGGGCTTCTCCTCCTCCTCCTCACCCTCGTCGTTGCCCTGGGCCGGGGCAGCCTTGGGCTTGGGGGCCTCCTTCTTGGGCTGCTCAGCCTTCTTGGGGGCCGTGTTGGTCAGCTTGGGGGTCTCGAGGAGCTCCATCGGGGGAGCAACGGCCGAGTAGATGGGCTGCTGGTAGACGGTGGTGTACCACCGGGTGGTGTGGGGGTACTCCTGGCGCCACTGTTTGTCGAAGAAGAACTCGAAGCCGCGAGCGATGATGCCAACAGAGAACAGATCGGCCAGGGTGATGCGCTCGCCAACCAGGAAGGTGTTGTTCTTCAGGTGCTCCTCGACGACCGAGATGGCCTTGAGGGTCTTCTTGGAGGTCTCCTCAACAGCCTTCTTGTTGTAGGTGTCCTTGCCCAGGAGAGGCAGGTACCAGGCACCCATGGGGGGGAGGACCTCGGAGTTGAAAAAAGACATCCACTTGAGGATCGAGGCATAGCTAAGTTGACCTGTTAGCTACTGTCTGTGACCACGACGTTCAACCCTGACGGGGGGAGGGCCGTGAGATGACGGCAGAAACTTACTCCTGCTTGGTCTTGCCGAGGAGGGTGGTCTTCTCGTTCTGGGAGGTCACTTCAGTGCCGGTCAGTACAATATCGCCAAAGAGGTGAGTGAGGGCATGAGAAAAAAGTGAGAAACAAGAGTAATAGTCAGATGTTAGAGTATATCAACACGCATAGTTATTCAGCCAGGGATAACTGTAAATGATTGTCTAGATCATCACGCTAAGGAGGGGGAAGGCACGCCAAGAGAGCCGGCTCCCAAGGAGGGGGCGGGTCGGTCATGCGACGAAAAATGAAAAGTGCGGCGCAGCATACCGTAGATGGCAATGGCGATGCATTCGGACAGAACGTAGCCATCGCTGCCGACAAAGGTAGGAACCTTGGACAGCTTGTTGAGGGCGAGGTAGCCCGCCGGCACGCTGGCCGAGTGGGTGTCAACAACCTCGAGCTCCTTGTCGTTGGCCTTCGCAACAGCGAGGATGGCCGTCGAGCGGGGGTTTTTCTAGGATGGCAGGTCAGCGTTCTAATCTTGTCGCTGCTATTGCGGGAGCGGCGCGAGTGCGCGCAATGCGGAAAAGACGGCGCGCGAATGCAGGAAGCTTACCTCGTATGTGTAGAGCTTTCCGAACGCCATGGCTGCGGTGTTTGCGACCTTGACTGTGGTAGGAGAAGGAAGATCCGGGGATGGTTTGAGTGTGTTTTGGGTGGAAGCAGGCGAGGAAGAGCTCGAGTGAGGAAAAAAAAATATACTCTCGGGTCCCGTCCGTGCATCAATGGAGGGGTTGCTGTGTGGGGCTGGGAAATGACGAGATTAGGCGCGCATGTGGCTGCAGCACCACCTAGCCACAGGAGCGGGCGGTTAAGCTGTGGCTCGCAGCAAGCCATTCAGCCGTGCAGGCGCGGGCCGCAAAAATCTCCAGCCTCGAGGCCGAGCCGGAGGACGGACCGCACCAACGACGACGACTATTTGCTGTCCCCCCCCCCCCGACGGCGATGTCCTGGTAGGGGCTCACCCCCGCGAAACATACAAGACATGAAGACCCTCAGGCCAGCAGCCCTGGGCCTCGCCCGCGGCGCTGGCGCACAATGCTGCCCCCTATTGCCGTCATTACAGCACCGGCTGCAGGCGCTCAGCATGGCGCCGAGAACCGTCGCCGACAGGGCCCAGTCGACATTCTCCTCCGCCCCGTCCTCGACGGACGCCGGCTACCTGTCCAGCGCCATGCAGGCCGCCACCACGATGGTGCACGCGCGCCCGATGCCCGTCTCGCCCGCCTACTTTTCCCGCATGAGCCAGTTCAACGACGACTACGTCCGGATCAGCGACTACTACCGGAGGCTGCAGCACCTCCCGCTCGACCCCAACCCCGCCGAGAACGTGACGTGGAAGAAGCTGGTGGACTACAAGGCCGCGTGCGGCGAGAACGTGCGGGCGTCCGACTACGCCGCCTGCATCAAGATGGTCAAGGCGCTGCACAAGATCCACCGCCGGCTCAAGTCGGAGGGGCTCCGGCAGGCCCTGGTGCCCTTCATGCGCGACATCACGCCGCACCGCAACGAGCCCAGGCCGGCCCACATCGACCGGTTCGGCAGGTCGGTGGGCGTGGGCCGGAGGAAGGAGGCGACGGCGCGCGTCTATCTCGTCGAGGGCACGGGCGATGTCCTGGTCAACGGCAAGCCCATCTCCGAGGTCTTTGGTCGCGTCCACGACCGCGAGAGCGTCATCTGGCCCCTCAGGGCCACGGAGCGCATGGACAAGTACAGCATCTGGGCCCACGTCTCGGGCGGGGGCACCACCGGCCAGGCCGAGGCTCTGACCCTGGGAGTCTCCAAGGCTCTCATGGCCCATGAGCCCGCGCTCAAGCCCGTGCTCAGACGAGGTGAGTCAAGATGCGGCATTCTCGTAGTGCCGACCGCTGTTTGAGTCCATAGGTCGCGCTGTTTCTTTCGTGTTGATACTAACCCAGCTTCTTCCTGCGTGTAGCCGGCTGTGTCACACGGGATCCCAGGATGGTGGAGAGGAAGAAACCTGGTCATGTCAAGGCCCGGAAGATGCCTGCATGGGTCAAGCGTTAAACCGTATATCATCGTATTTACTGCTCGCCGCCATGTTCCATGCTGCTCCCATGCAGCCGATGTGAGGTCTGTTGATAGTAGACCGTTTGGTTGGCGGGCTCGGCGCCTGGCTACGGCGCTCTTGGGGCACATCATACGTCAGGCCGGAGCCAAACCCTCCCGGCGTATTCCACCGCGACAGCAAGGACTCCAGTTCGCCCATGCAGCGTCGGGTTGAGTAGCGGCCTTTCCGGGTGGATGGCTCGCTGCGGACGCCGCGACGGGGCAGAAGTAGAAGAATGTTTGCATCAATGATGCACCATTCTTGTGTACGACAAGGTAGCATTTCTGCGGAAGTGATATGTCCCTTTTGATACAAGTGGACTCCTAACATCTGAAAGCCAATCTCGAGGAACATAGATACATATAACAGCACTTATCGCAGAACGCCCCTCGTGCGAAAAGCCAGGCACAGCTGCCCGTAGCGCCTATGATGACGTTATCTCTACGCAGTTTTCAGGTGTCCGTGTACAATCAGTCCTGAAGCATTTAGTAGATATCGAGGCGATCATGGCTTCTTTGCGCGAGGGAGCTCGACGGCAGGCGGCGCAACAAACTGGCATCGACGGCGGTTTGCATGGTCTCCCCACCACGCGGAGCCGCCGGGGTATGTCGCCGTACCTTGTTTCCGGCTCGATGCAGGGGGGTGAGGTGAGAGGGGCACACCTGGGGTGAAGACGGCCGGCCATGGGTTGGGCGCTCGACACCTTGCAGAGTCGACTGTCGACTGTCGACAGAGTGCATGGGTCGTACCGCATCCTCGGGCAGGACAAGGGATCCTCACCAGCCCGGGGCCGTTGACAACGTGGCTCCATTTGTCGCCCTGTCCTTGCGGAGAGGCTTCCATGTGGGCAAGGAGATATGTCAAATTTTGGATATCAGATAGCGCTGTTTTGATCCCCTGGTGCTCTAGGAAGCCAGGGTCGGCGGGAATCACGTTGTACAACATCGCCGAAGCCATTGATGCAATGCCCATAAACCATATACGTCGTCGGAGAAATGCACTGCCCCGGGGCCACAGAGGCTATCCCTTCCGCCACCGGTGTCGGAATCGCCATTAGCGATGCTTGTCCCCCAGAGACCCAAGATCCTGTTGTTCACTAATCACCCTTACCGCTCCCCCTCTTTTCTCCCCTGTGTTGGCAGTCGTGGCCCGAGACATCCAAGCTCGTCAAATTTCGGAAGCGCCGAATACGCGTCGTCATTGTCCAGTGTAGACTTTTCGATCGCGCTCGGGGCTACTGGCCAGCCTTGTCATTCCCAGCCCCTCAAAGTTCCTCGGGACGGGGAAGCTAGGCACCTGTTCGGGCTTGCTTGCGGACTTGTTTCCCCTTCCTTTCCCTCCCTTATCCTCCGCGTCGCCTGGTCACGGCCGCATTACCCAGACCGGTGCCAAAGTTTTAGGATCACAAAGCATATTGGGGGCTTTTTACCGAACCCATGTACGAACGGCGGGACCAGCCTCGTTGGGCAGCGTCGAGACGGGCAGGGCGGGCGCGCCCTCCATGTTCAAACCACTAGTTTGCCGCTTTTGGCATGGGGCGGTGCGCCTCGCGAAACGTGTGTAATCCCTTATGGAAATGGCAAGCCTCGCAACCAACAACGCCAGCTAAATCAAATTTCTAATTGGGCCTAGTCAGAGTCTTCAAGCGCGAAAAGAAAAGGAAAATTTGCAGCCTCATCTTCCGACGGGGAAAGCGAGGCGCTGGCTTGCGGCCCCGGCAACCCTGGCAGACACAAGATGAAGGGGAGATCCCTCCATGGCCACGAGGGCTTTGGCACTTGGCTAAAAAGAAGGCCTAAACGGCCCGAGGTGCACGCTTGGCCCAGGCCGGTTGTTTCCAGAAACCTGAGTGTTTAGGTTAGCCCGGCTAGTTTCGAGCGGAGGGGTTGCGTGACATCATGCCGTTTCAGGTTCATGTGGCTGACTCTTGAGGCTGCCATCCCGGGATAGGGTTTGGAAGCGAGGCGTGAGGGAAGCAGAGGAGAAGGGGGAAAATCATGGATAGGAGATTGCCGAGAGGATGGGCTTGGCCGGCCGCCCCAAATACCAGACCCTGGGACTGATCGACGGAGGCGAGGAGGAGAGTCTGGCCCGTTGGTGGAATGCTGGGGCCGAAAATGATCACCTGACAAGTGCTGGGGGCTATCGTCGAGCCTGCTCCGGCACTACCCTCCTCGGCCTAGTTTCCGAGCCAGAGCGGCAATGTTTCCCGATCAATGTTATAACGTACCCCGGAGGGCTCCTTTTCATGCTACCAAACGACACCACAACGCTTCACCCTGCTGGGACGGCATGTTCCGAAGAAAGGGCACTTGACCGAACCAGACAAGAAAATAGAGAAGCGTAGAAGCGCGAGGTAGCAATGCAGTCATGAAACTGGACCTCTGCTTGGCCGCCTGGAAGGTTGACACGGCAGATGCACGCATCCGCGGGCGCCCGGAGAATGGGATTGATGGCTCGACAGCTGCCCTTTCCGGGCGGCTGGGCGATGTGCCAAGCCGGCCGAACTGGCTTCGCTGTCGACGATCTGGGATAAATCATGCACTGGGTGAACCGAGGTAATGAAGCACCAACACATTCCCGTCTGCCCTCGCCAATTGTGCAGGGCTGGGCCGTGCCAGGCTCGGTGACCAGGCTCGTCGCATTGAAGTGCGAGAGGCCGGCGATCCCGGGGACGCAGCCTCGCATGATCGTGTTGGCCTCATCCAATGGTTTTGAGAGAGGAATCAAAAGTGATTAGTAATTTTGCAGCTAGGACGCATGCCAATGGTGTGTTGATCAAAGTCACGCCATGTCTCTAAAAATGAAATCAAAAAGCGAAGTGACCAAGGCGGAGCGAGTCGGTAAGAATGCCAAGTGACGAGGGCCAAGACGCGAAGAATTGACAAAGATTAGCCATTAGCCACTAAAGCCATCAGCCTCAAATGGGGAGGAAAAACGGCCAATCCGAGAGGGTGTGGGTCGAGCAGCGCCGCTCTCGGCTCTTCAGCTCGGGGTGGGGGGACACTGGGGGTTGGTCGCCTCGTCGACGGTGATGGACGGACGCATGCAAAATGATGCCGGGACGAGGCTGATGGGGTGAAGGCGAGATCGCAGATCGCCGAGGTGCAGAGACACGATGCCTTGCCCGCCGAGGAATGGTACCCGAAATAAAGGGGCCGTGTGCCACAAGCGTGCTGTGCCGGCTCGTTCGTGCCTGGTTGGGCGGGAGGGCACGCCTGCTCTCCCAAGTGAGGCGCCCAGCCGCGCCAACGAGCAGGGGACCCTGCAGGACAGACGAGCTTGTCCAGCCTGGTCTTTAGCTGAGTGTGTGTGTGTGGTGTGTGTGTGTGCGTGTGTGTGTGCGTACGGAGTACCTGCTTCCACACTCCTGCGCCGCTACATGTGCGCGCAGATCGTGCAGCGTGATGATGGAGTGCATCTGCATGGAGGTGGGAGGTACCTCAGCAAAACGCGGGGGTGGAATTCGGTCATGCTGGGTCGCCTGTGCTGGCTCCGCGCGTCATCCTATCTCTCCACCAGGGTCGCATTTCGTCGCGACCTTGACCAGATTTCGAGGCAGCAATTCGCACATGGAGTCGAAATGCCGAAAATGCGCGTGTCAGTGCTGAGTACTTTGGGTACCTGCCGCAGGTACCTCGGGTCCCGACCCCTAGTAGAAGTGACTCGTCATATGGGCCAGCTAGGTGTCGCCGACCGGGGAAGCTATGAGACCAACTGAAAACCATTGGAGAGCCATGGTGGTGCTCTGTTAGCTTTCCGTGCCGCCCTGGTAGGCCCAGACTGTAAACATGACAGAGAATGTTTATTTTTATAGCACGGCGCTGAATGGTTTATTTTTACCTCCCTTGACCATTTTAGTGCTAACCTCACATGGAAGAGATGTTCATGTTTGCGGATGGCGCCGTTGGAATAAATGACCAAGTCCCAATCTGGCCAAGCATGTACAGCCTAGAAACTTCCATCTCGAGATTGGAAGTCTCTACCGCCCGCACCAGGCGGTGCGGGTGAGGACCGTGGTACCCTGGACAGGTGTTATATACGAGCCGCCAGCAAGAGGTTGGGCTCTTGGGCACAGGCCGATCAGCTTGGGCTGGTCTCGCACGCTCCCAAACAGCCGTCCAAACACAGAGCCCAAGTGACCTGATCTGATAGCGCCTGTCGAGCCCAAGCCCGGGAGGTGTCTACATAGGTAGGGGGGGCAGGTAGCCCGGTGGCTCGCATCCGTCGGGCTGGACGGCTTGGGAAGTAGCACGGAATACCTCCCAGAACCCAATTGCAGACGGTACGGATATCTGGCGGCCAAAAAAAAAAAACTCGATGCGGCTCGTCTGTTCCCGTGTCTGGGGGAATCGAACACTGCAGGATGAGTTGCGTGGCGGGCGGCATGGATTGGAGCTGGTCGTATTCCAGGATTTTGTACGGAACAAAAGAAATTGATGCAAAAAGAAAGTTACCGAAATGGGGAGCAAGTGTCAGGGTGAGAGAGGAAGGAGATGATGGATAAGGAGAAGAAAAAAAAGCATCCCCGCGGTTTGTCGTCGTCGGCCAGCGAGTGCTACCCTCGAGCTACCTTTCCGCTCCGCCGTGAACCCCCCTGGGCTCAAACTCGCCGAGCACGCGTAGCCAAGGGGCCAAGTACCAAGAAGGTCGAGACGAGTGCCCACCCATGCAAGGTACCGGTACCTTGCGAGCGCATCTGCACGACTCCACCCCAGAGCCCCTGTCATTTGACCAACACCCCGGTTGATGCTGGAGCAGGGGGCCCATGCAGCCTTTTAGGAACGACATCGCACCTCCAAACCACCTTTGCTCTTGTAGGGATCAGGGTTCCAACTCGCAAACCACCATCCCAAAAGGCAACCCGATCCTTTCTTTGCCACGTAGCGGTACTTTCACCGCCCAACCCTCAACCGAGGTGGAAAAAAAAAAGGCGAAAGGGGGAAAATGTCACACTGGCTGGTACATTCCATTCCAGGGGCTGCCAGTCAACTTGTCCTCACGCAATCCAATGGAGGCTCCTACTTTACATAGCATCAGTTGCCGGCGGCATCGGCTCGCTGCTCCACCGGAGAACGGCAGCAATCTGTTGGTCGGGAGAGCAAGAACCGAGGTCGTGACGAGTTGTCGGTGTGGCCGCGCAGAAGCCCTCGTCCCTACAGTGGAGAACAGGTCCAACGTATAATCCATCCCCTTTTCCTCTCATTTTGCATCTCTAGCTCAGCTTCCTTTGGACGCCAGCTGCTGATTCGCGCAGGCCAGATCTCACGTTGCGGGCAATGGAACCACCGACGCAGCAGGATCTGTCTTGGTTATGGAACTCCCTCATGCCCAAGAAGGGGGGGAGGGGGAAACTTTTCGTCCGCCAATGCCCTCCAATTGATTGGGCTCCCACGCGGCTGTTGCCCCTTGCCCTGGTGCCCAGTGATGCGCCTCGTAATTTTTCCTTTTCTCTTCTTTTTTCTTTCTTTTTCCCTTCCTATTTGCATGGGACTCGTTTTTGTTTTGAGCATGATCCCGGTCACTTCCCAGATCGGAAGTCTAAGGCACCGGATGGGTATTGAAACAGTCACCCTGTCCTTTTCCCTTGTCTCTCTCTCGATCGATCGTGCTTAAATGCCCCGATTGAAAATGCAGGCAGTGAATGGCACGCACCCACAGACACGCAGAGCTGGAGCGAGGCACAGCCAGGATATAACCCACCAAAAGACTGTGACTGCCGGCTCGATCTGCTGATCATGCAACCCTGGACATAAGACGGACAAGCGGGGGAGAAAGGGCAGGATGCATGGAACGGGAAGCTCGACATAAAACATGGCATGGACTGTTGATGCCAGCAGCGCATACGCAGCCGTCTGCAAACGTATCCAACCTACAGGAACCGTCCAACGGCTCCAAGATGGCGGTCGACTGAGGAGGCATTACGCTCCATTATTGAGCATGCATCGAGAACAAAACGGGCTGGCCGTCCCGGATGGGCCGCCGCATCCACATCGCGCTGTCTCACCTGTTCCTGCCAACACTTGACCGCCGTCGTTTTCACGACCAAAACCCGGCGGACGGGCTGGCGGTTATAAAAAGAAGTGGGTGGGTAAGGTTCATGTTAGGCTTGGTCGCAAGGGCGGAGATTTTTGATTTTTGCTCTACTAGCCTTCTCTGGGAACTTACTGGTCTGGTCGTCTTGTCTCTGACTCGGAACCGTGCAATTTTCGAACGAGGCCTTTCCTGATTTAAGGTTCGTGGCTTCCTTCATTCATCAATCCGCCCCTTCCCCCCGAGCCAAGCCAAAATACCACCGAGATCACGCAGACGGCCAGAAAGGCCCCAAATTTTTAGGTACGTGCCGGGCTGCGGGGAGTGCGCCTTCCTAGCCCAGTTCTTGGGCCGTTTTCCCCCTCCTTCACGAGCATTAGCACAGAGCAACCAACCTTCTAGGTCCCTGTCGTTCAATCCGCCAGGCCTGATTCACTCAGACAGACTGGGAAGGAGGTACCGAAGCAGGCGCCTTATCGACTAGACACCATGTGGAGTGGAACATCCGCGTGCGTGGGCCTTGTCGTGGAAGAAAGCAAGTTGCTGCCACCTCTAGCAAGCAACATCCCGGCTGCCACAGCCCCAAGGCATTGCATCCTAGCCGCAACCTTTGAACAAACGATGTTGCCTGGCCTTTTTTCCTTTTTTTTTCTCTTTTTTTTCTCTTTTCTTCTTTTCTTTTTCCCTTTCTCTTGTCTCCTCGACCCTCTCGCTTCTGGCTCGTCCCGGCCCCAGTACCGCCCGCCCCAGTCACATCAAGCCCTGCCTGATATTCTCTGCTCGTCAAGTGTGGACGACGGCGAGCGCCCATGGCCGTTACCCACACGCCACCCCCTCGGCTTCTGTTCCTCCAACCGCAATTGGCCAGCATCTTCATCCCATCTCGTCGGCTTTCGCAAGTGCAACCCCATTTGCCCTGCGCCTAGGGGTTATCGAATCCGCCTGAAAGAAACTCCAACGAAGCCTGGGGAAAAAAAGGACCGCCGTCTTATTCCTTCATCAGCAAGCCCGCTCTGGAAGAGACTTGCATGCGAAGCTCCCTCGTCACCTCCCCCATGCGTTATACTCCCGTTCTTAACTCACTTTTCTCATGCCATTTTCTTACCCCTGTTGCTTGCCCCTTTCTGCCCCTTTTAGTATCCTCGGGTTGTTCGGAAAACAATACCTGTCAACGCCCGCTGTTGGCACCAGGGAGCGGGCTCACTAACCAACCGGGGCAACTACCAGCTCTTCCAAGTCAAGCCATCCCGGCTCAGTTGAGATCTGGCGTTGGGCCCCGGTAGTGGCTTGGTAGTGTACGTACTTGGCCTCTCCCTGCGCCTACGCAAAATTTCCCTTTCAGTTAGGTGCTACACACTTCCACACCTAGGCTGGTACCCTCTTGTAACCACCTGTGAAGTCGCCTATGCAGCTTCTCTCCCTGCCTCGCCGACTCCCCTAGATTACCCGCACGGCACTTAGTATCCTGTCATTCGGCTGCAAAAAAAAAAAAAAAAAAGTGCAGGCTACTAACAGACATCTTTATCAACAGACTCGCTTCTGCCCTCAGGCCTCGGTCCTGGGTGAGGGGCGCTCCTTGGGCGTTTTGCTAAAAAGTCCAGTTGGCTTTTTTGGTCCCGAGCACCACCTAACACCGTCGACCTGCCTCGCACTGGCGCCTACCCTGGCCGATCTCTCCTAGTCTCAAGCCTCACATACATAGCCACACGGTCATACAGGCAAGTGGACGCAAGCTAGAAAAGGTACGTGACATCAACAGGGTTGAGAGCTAGTGGGCGCCAAATTGCCTTGCGCGATAGACCCTGGCCTGCATGAGCCTCCCACGCTAGCACCACGCAAGCATCCGAGGAACTAAATGACGAAACATGTTTTTTCCTCGGTGGAGCTATTCCACCCATCCATCCACCCCTAAATCTTTGCTTCTGCTCATGCCTGCCCGCCCATCCCCAAATGGACACGGTAGTTGGCGGGACGGGGGGCATCCTACCCCCGACGATAAATCCTCAGCCTCTCTTTGCGTCTGGGCCTTCACTCCCTCGTGCTACCCAATGGCACTGCACACCACCCTCATTGTCGCCCTGGGCGTCTCTGTGCGACACCCTGCTTTAGACTTCCATTTCCCCATCTGGCTCATGGGCTGGGTCTTCGCTAGCTTTGTGTCCATACCCCTTATCATATACGCCCCCTCCATTGCCTCGTGCCCCTGGCCCCAACCTGAGCCAGGTTGTGGTTTTCTTTTGTCCTCTCCGTCTGACCCCATCAGACAGCCCAGCAGAATTCGAGATCAGCGGGACCTTTTTGGGTTACATGCCGCCTTCCGCTCACTGTCCGAACCCCCAAAGCTCTATCGGTCCTTGACTAGGCTATCCACGCCTCCGCCTGCACTCGTGTCGTCCCCAACCACTATAAACAGGCCGTCAGGCTTTACACGGTACTGGCTTAACGACCACTAGCGACCTCCTGGCTCGTCTTGTTCAACAGCTCAGCCATCAACGTTTCCAGAGTGCACACCTCATTCGCAATCTTGGGCTCCATCTCGGGCTCCATCTCGGGCTCCTACCTGCTGGGAGATCGCCTCGAAACGGAACGGTGACGCTGCTAGCACTAAGGCAGCTCAAGAAAATAGGGTGGCGATAGCGGGAGACGAATCGGATGCCGCAGCACCCGTTTCGAGGCTCACCGATCCAACCCTACCCCAACGTCTTTCTTCCCCGGTCACGCTTGTCATGCGCAGAGATCGTTGCTCGCGCCCGGCCAGGATAGTCCCGGTTCAGTAGCGCAACTGTCGTCTAGACGCCGCTGCATTACCCACTAATTTCGTTGTCACTACCTCTGCTATTATTACGCGACTCGACTGCAACTTGAGCTAAAAAGCCTGCCACGGTACCGCCCCGAGTCACTTGCGTACGACATAGGAGCTCTAGCTCAAAGGGCCCTTCCAGCCCGCAACATCTGCCTGCCTGGGAGGGTGTAAAACTACATCGGAAGGCGTTTGGTTCTCGTCTTTCATAGTACCAAGCACCGGCTCCGACTACACATATCGACGCCTACCCAAGCACGTCTTCTTCTCCCGCTTACCCGTCGGCATCTTTGGGGAAAGGCCAGGTTCCCTTGCGCAAGTAAGCAAGCACGCGCAACGGGACCGCGAGCAACGGGACCGCGATCAACAAGGCAAATCGACACGGCCCCAGTCAACCCGCTAACCTTACCGTTCCCATCGGCTCGCCTGGGTTAGTTTACCGGCCTGATCCTCTCTGCCTTCTTCTCTGCCCTTCCTCGTTCCATCCCACTCTCTGCCAACATCACACCCCCACCGAAGGGGACATTCCGGCCTCATCACATCGCCAACCACCTGAGCTACCCCCCCGGCTCCCTACGACACCTGCAGCTCTGAGCACCCAAGGCAACAACACGCTGGCGCTAGAGCGGCCATACGGACGGCAGCACTCGGCGACACTAACAAGACCACCGCCCACGCGAAGATCCTCACAAGGGCGGTCCCTGTACCGAGCTGCGGACCCAAGCTGGCAGTAATCGGTCCTACGAAGGCGTTGTTTCCGCCGGCGCAAGAGGTGGAACCACCGCATCCCACGGCTGCGAGCTCGCTGCATCAGCGGGGCATGGAGGACGCCGGTCTCAGACGGAGGCAGAATGAACCGCCTGCCCATCCTGCTACATCCAACCAGAGATACACGCAGCAGCCGATACAGGACGCTGCGCAGCAGCGCAGGTACGCAGCATCGACGCCGACCGATAGGTATCGGTCCACACCGCTCAACTCCTCGACCACGGGCACGGCTCGGGGCATCGGTGGCTCGGCTGGCTACAGCGGATACTACCAGGATTCTACAACCGGCGCATTCCAAACGGCCACAGCCATGCCGCAATCATCCATCTCGTCGTACCACCAATCCACCACGGACTACAGCCAGGATGGACGGCAAACACAGAGCTTCACGGGTTATAACCCGGCAAGCATGATGTACAATGTTCAATCAGGGGCCCAGAACTCTGCCGTCTACGACACGAGCCAGCAGTCCTTCCAGCGCCAACCCGCGGCTGCCTTGCAGATGATGGCGGCAGATGTAACCTCGGCGAACCCCTACTTCTCTGGCGAAACCGGGAGCTCGACCACTGCCTCGCTCCAGACCCAAGCGGCACCCTCCAACACTTCCTCGTCGGTTTATCAGAACGCAACGGACAGGTCAGCGCTCCTTGGGTACTCGAACAACATGGCTGGAATGGGGGGGATTGCTTCCCAAACGGCCGCCGCACCTGCGGCAGCGACGGCGACCACGGGGGATGTCGGGATTGAAGAGCAGGAGTACCCCGCTACCAGCGGACTGGACGAAGCGTACGCAAGCTACCAGAGCGCGCTCAAGGAAATCTTTCAGAACGTCAAGAGCGGAATCCTGCAAGCCGCGAGCGAATCCCTTCTAAACGTCTCGGACTGGCTGCTCTCGCACGTAACAGAGCTCGGTAAGTGTCTCCGCGGGCGTTTTTCTTTCTTTCTCTCTCTCTGTGGGTTGATGAACATCAAATTCCAAAGAGTCAGTACTGACACAAATTTCGCGCGCAGGGCTTACCTCGGACGACCAGGACCTCTACAACGACCGCATCAAGCTTTGGAACGACTTCAACCATGCGTGGCTATCTCTTTTGCAAATGCAGAAGGAATTAATGGAGTCTGGCCAGCAGCTCCAAAGGTCCCAGACGCTCATCAGCCGAGAAGGCCTCGAGAAGATGGCCAAGGAGCTCCTCAGGTTATGCGACCAGGTCGAGCGCCATGGCCTGGTTGACTACCAGTACGGGGTCTGGGAGGAGCAGATTATAGCAGGTGCGCTCCGAATTTTTCACCTATTCCAGGTCTTTATAAATGCTGACTTGGTGCTTCATTTCTAGTTCTCGAGGAGTGTTCCGATCTCTATGGTTCCGCAGGAGAGTCCAGCGGAGCCGCCGCCGCGTCCAGCTCACGCAGACAATAGAAAACATTGTCCTGCGAGAACCCCCCTCGTCTAGCATTTAAAGTGTACCTTCATTATCCATGAATTTGGATTTGATCCTTCCCCCTTCCCCTGCCCGTTTTCGCTGGCATCATCGGCGTCTCGGCTGATTGGGGCTCAAGGATTCTTGAAAATGGTGTCGTCGCCCAGCGATGACACCACGCTGCCACTTGCTTTATCCGCATTCTCCTTCTTCTAAAGGGCTTCTTCCTTTTTGCCATTTTCCCTTGCATACCCAGGCGTTGGATGGGTTGTCATCCGTACCCCGTTCATGCTCTGTTTGCTTTGGTGTGGGTAAGCTGGAGCGGTACCCACGCTGGTGGGCTGGCCGATTTCTTGCTTCTTCCGCTTCCTCATTTCTGTGATCTGGTCTCGTACCCGACCACTACATTATCATAGCTTTCCTATGTTGCTTTCCTGTTGTTTGTGCATCGGGTGACACAAATGGGAGTGGTCGGGACAGACATCCCGGGAAGGGCTTATTTCTTTCTCTTGGTTTTTCTTTCCAGCTATTCACATGTGAAATGGAAGGCGTCGGGGGATATCTGGTGCAAAATAGGGGGGACGGACTATTGAAATTCCCAAGGCGCCTTAGACTCGAGGAAAAGCGACATTCTTCATCCTCTCTCTCTGTCTGTCTTTTCTTTCTCTCATTCTTTTTCTCAAAAGTGTACATTTTTTGTTGCGTTATTTTCCGGCCTTTGCTTTCTTGTTGCATTGGGCTGTTTTCTCTGCGCGTATAGACAGGGCTGGGAACCATGCCCCTCACGGGGATTCGGGTTACCCCCATTTATCGTATTGTGTCATTTTTCTCTTGGTTGGGCGGCACCTGTTAATTTCTCTTCCTTTTCCTTCTATCCTAGCCGTATAAGTTTGTTTTGGTTTACCCGAGCGCAACCTGTATTGCTTTCGGGTTACCAGTGTTTGTGGCTTGGCCCATGGCAAACGAGGCTGTCGTCGATTTGCTGCCGGAGCAGGGATGTTTGTGAGTGGGTAGCTGCATGCAGATCCCGGGCAGGGTTGGGTCGATCTCGGAACATTATCATGGATCCGCAAGGTTGGGAAGGTTCCTGATAGGCGAGCTGAGAGGGAGAGGGAGGCGGATGCCTGGTCCCCCGCGCCCCCATCCCTCGCCTACCCGGAGGGGCTGAAAGCCAAGGCGGTCATGGTGGCCCCGTCTTTCCCGCCATTGCTTTTCTAATTCCATTTATTGGAGGGCTGTCTGGCGCGATCAACAAATACGTTGTATTGATTGGAGATGGAAGATTTCGGGCAAATATAAATCGAGGTATGCTTTTATCCTGCCTGTTTGTGAATGCGCCAAGACTTGTTGCTCCAAAATACCAAATAGTACAAGAATAAGACGGAAAAAAAAAGCAAGACTTTTGCTGCTATTCCTTGGCAAGAGGGTGGACCTGGGACGGTTGCAATAGGAGATGCGTTTCCTCTCTTCGGCCTTCCTAATCCGCCGAGGCAAACGGGGAACACCGACGAAAAGATGGAGGGAGGGGATATGGAGGAGATTTATTGTTCGGGTATATATTCATTGATCGTCGATATCTAGTCTAAACATGCTGCACAAACAAGACTGTGGCTTTGAAATGGGGGGCATGTGATACGAGGGCTGCAGTTAAAAACACGAACCTTTCAGCACCAAAAGGATAACGAGGACAGAGCCACAGCTTGTATATACCACAAGCGCACCCGCTTCCCAGAAATGGAAAGAAGCTCGCTAGCAATATGGTTGGAGCTAACTTCGACCTCACAGTTTTGGCCCTTGCAAACAAGACTTTAAAACGACGAGCTATGCGTTGATATGCATCTGCCTACACTTAAAATGGCTTTCCCATTCACTTTTGACTTGTCTTTATTCTTTCTGTTACTTTTAGTCTCCTTTCTTCCTTGCATTATTTTCTGCCCTTCTTGCTTTTCCAGGCTGGGGCTGATGTGACTTGTCAGATTCGCGATGTCCCGGGGTGTGACGTTCATCCTCTCCTGGAAAAGGATCCCGGTCGCTGGGTTGAATGAAAGCGAGGGTGTGGGTGACGAAAGGAAGGGAGTAGGCATACCGAGAAAAAACAAAAAACAAGATCACACTCTTATCAGCCGCGCTGGCACCGAACCGGCAGCTTTTTTCTGGTTCACATCCCCACTACGGCGGCTGTATTGGGCCATGGGGCAGACATTCGTGATTTAAATTAACAACGCGAAGGAAGAGGTAGGAGCGAGGCATAAGGAAAAGCAAATCAAGGAGTAAAGAAAAGCCGGGTCGGGGGCTACCACACTCCCCCCGATCCCATG